CATTATATAGGCACTAATTTTTAATATGCAATTTAAGATTGAAGACATACAAAGAAGTTGCATGTCCTCAGTGGCCAGTAAAAAGCCCTTGACATTTTCCGCCAAATTGTTTGGGAAACGTCACTTGATACAAGCTGTCAGAGAGACGATATCGAATAGAATATTCAACGAGGCACCTGTCCTTATCTACAGACAAAGCACCGTTTAGAAAGAACCTCGCTGTTTTTAACTCCCGACCATAGAATACTGTAATGTATTATAGTATTATAATGTATAATGTATTATAGTATTCTATGCTCCTGACGCAAACAGAGGGGTTATATTATGTTTAACGTAGCTTCCAAACGCATAAAAGAATTTAGATTTAGTTTTTTTTGTTTGATAGGTCACTTGATCGAGAGAGTTCCTAGGTATGATTCAAGAAAATATTTTCTGCCATTTGAATATTATCAACTTTTTTCTATTTCGGATTTTTTTTAATTTAGGTTATTGTTATGTAATATTTAAAAATAAAATGTCCGCGCGAAAGAAAGTCCTCCAATTCGTTACAAATAAAACTAAATCGATACCTTGTGCATAATAACCGCCATTTTATTTTCTTCATTACTTACGACTAGTACAAATAATGGTGGATGCCTACCACGTGTTCAAACCGTTTGATTTGTCTTTTGTAATGCGTTGAAGAAAGGAGAGGTAGGTATAATTTGCCACTATCTGTCTTTCTATTCGATTACAATATGGATTTCTTCAAGGCAAGAGTGAATAGGCTTTTGTTCGAAGTCAATATGCTTTGCAATTTTCGACTCTATCACCACTTACCATCGGGTGGTATAAAAGACAAGCAGTTTTTAATGGTTATAAAGTGCACATTTTCTCTTGCTTGTCCGTCCGTTTGTGACGTGTTTCTGTTTAAAAATTGGGAGGTATCATAATTAAGCTATGACTTTTCTACTAAGGCCTCAAAGGTAACGGCACATCTAATGCTCATATGTATGAGGTCCAATGGCCACAGGCTGCACCAGCCATATTTATGGAAGTGAGGGTGACAAACGAGCACACATTCAAAATAAAGGGATTATGTGTTCTGAGGCTATGCTGTGACGTATAGACAACGAAATCTATACTCGAATAGAAATAAAAATGCAGATGCATGGTTATCCCTGAGGTTATATACTGGTGACCTTTTTTACCGTCTGAAAAAAAAATAGGATGTAACATGTGAACGGATTAGAAGTCCATGGCACTGATTATTTACAAAAGATAAAAATATTGAATTAAACGTTTGAAATTTTTTATCAATTACTTTGCCCTTTACCCTTGAGCCTGTGACCCTTCGAAGTAACAAGGTCAAAGATACCTACTAAATTTATTCTTTTATTGTCATTCGTAAAGGAGGGTCGGATATGATTTGAATTTTAACAGATTTTAATTTGTTTATTTATTTGATTCAAATTTTTTGTTGTTACATTTCGTAAATTATCAGTGCCATAGGCTTCTACTCCGTTCACATGTTACACCCTATTTTTTTTCAAGACGGTAAAAAAGTCATCCAGTATATTATTTGCCTGAGGACTAAGATAGCGCCTAGTCACCAATAAAAGAAGTCTCTGGTTCTCATCTTATCATATCCTCTCATTTAGCGTAAAATAGCAGCGCAATGCTGCTGTGTTTCCTATGGTGAGTGTAGAGAACCGGAGAGTAGAGGCACACCATCTTAGTCCTCAGGGTGACTATGGGATTCTATGGGCCACATCATGCACTTACCATCTGGTCGACTGTGTTGTTGCTTGTCACCCAATGCTATAAAAGAATCATTCACATGGGAGATACAGCCGTTGAGATATAGCTGTTATTCCGTGTGAGCAAGTTTCTTTTCCCGTCGACCGACCGGCTACAGCGTAGCTACACTATTTTTCTAATTGATATCACTACTTCTCCCTTTGGGGGCGTCCATTAATTACGTGAGGTATTTAAGGGTGGAGGGAGTCAATCAGAATCTCACCCAATCTCACGTGGGAGGGAGAGGGAGGAAAATCTCACGTAATTTCATCCGCAAGAAACAGTGAAAAATTTCGAGAACGTTGTTAATTAACTAAAATATGGCATATACGCAATTAACTACAGAATAACGTATTTACACTAAAAATACGCATTATGAAAAATCTCATAACATCTCACCAGGCTAAGTAGGAGGCTAGAAAATTTCCAAAATCGCCTCACGTAACTTTAGTATGGAATACAAATATATTCGTAACATACTCGTACGTATGATATAATTCTCAAACACTTCCCTGCAATATCGATCGGTGAATCTGACACGCGATGGTCGCATCAAACACAAAAATATTCCCTTATGACACGTTCGTAAACAAGCAATGTCAAATTGACCCATCGGCGCTGCGTACTTCGTGTTTTGTAAATGCATATATTATCGATTGAACTACTCTCATGTTCAAGTTCATATTACTGATTATATTTGGTATTTATACAGACATAGATATGGTGTAGACAGATACTAAGGACTTCCATTTGACACGATCATGAAACACTTTTCTCATCTATTCTATATTTACCGATTAACTTATATAATTAACTTTTCTCGTCTCTTATTATTTTTATAGAATAAGGGTGAGAAACGAGCATACAGTCAATATGATGTAAGTGGATGCTGTGGCCCATAGACATCTACGTCTATCCCCGATTAATAAACAAAATGCAGATGTGACCCTGAGGACTATGTACAATGTCTAGTTTCCAGTAAAACGGGTCTCCAATAAAAAATATCCTCACTTTACTTAATTTTTCCCATCTTCAATATATTGCCAATTGTGTTGATAAACTTCTATCTAGGGTATTGTCAACTCTACCACTCACTTCTGCAACATAATTTTGCTTTATCACTTTTCCTCAATCATTTTCTCTACGCATGGAAGGCAAAGTCGAGAAGGGACGCCCTAGACGAAAGATTATTGATCAAATTGACTATATATTGAAGATGGGCCAGATTAATTGTACCTTTAATCGACGAGCATGTATGCGTAATATATGGATGTAAAGGAGGCAAGAGAGGTGTGTCAGGATCGTGTCAAACGGATGTCCGTAGTATCAGGTTACAGGCGTGAGTGTTTATGTTTGTGTTCAAACTACCGAGAATCAGTGTCTTAATCCTGGTCACAACATATTCTTAGACACCACACTTTTTTCTTATAACACAATGTCTCACCTGACAAAGAAAGATAGACCAAGCTCTGAGTACATATCAAGTGACCAAACCAAAACCATAACCAACTTAATTAAATCCAAGGGATTACAAAAACTTAAGGTTAGATAAGTAGTACAGTTATATCTTCAGAAAAAAAAAACTTAACTAGGCTTATTGTAGACGTGTTTTTCGTCAGGAATCCGTCAGCAGGTCTAGTTTTGAGTAATGGAATTGCAACTGAAGGAACAAGAAAGAAAAGTTCTCCGTTATTAGTCTATAGGATTTGAGTTCTACAGTTATTTTTAAAAGCTTGGCTTACCTTATCGATCAAATTATCCACCATATTCGTTGTGTTACATTACGCATAGTGTTGATGACAACTGGTACAGATGTGACGTGGGCGTTTAACATGATCTTAATTTTGTTTGTAAAGTAAAGTTAAAAGTAAAGTTACAGCCTATATACGTCCCACTGCTGGGCTCAGGCCTCCCCTCATTTCTGAGAGGGTTTTAGGGCAAGGAAGTGTCCGCCGCGCTGCCCAAATGCGTGTTGACGAACTTCACATGTCTTCGAAATATTTTTTTTTCTTATTCCTCAGACATGCAGGTTTCCTCACGATGTTTTCCTTCACCGCCGAGCACGTGGTAAATCAGCACTTAAAATTGCAATTAACAATTTCATTGGTGCCGGCGGGGATCGAACCCGGGTTACTCGCGTTCTGTTATATTTACAGCGAGCGTTAACCACTGAGCTACCACGGCTCAATTTTGTTTGTATCCATGTTAAAACCTAACAGTCGGGTGAAAATATTCAGGTGATTAACATAGCAAAGTTCTCCAAAGATTCAGCATCGGGGAACCGAATGTGGTTCATTGCTTGAAAATGTTTTCTAAAGCCAGCGGTGATCAGTTTTGATTGTTTTACATATAATAAGTGTGATTAACGACAACACACAATCGACCCGATGGAAAGTGGGACATCTATCCACTATAAAGATTCAAAATGTAGATTCGGTGTCCACATCTGAGAACTAGGATACGCTTCTATACATTTATCATTGAAACACGGCAGCCCTAAACAGCTATTTTACGATGGTATGCATGAATAGCAATAGCATCTTGAGAGGGTGGTACACCGGTCAAACCGACCCATTCGTGCTTCAGCCGTATTATAGCTGCAGCGTGGCTCTACGCCCATGTAATAACGTTATTATAGGATTTGCTTTAAGTATGTTACCTCTTACCTATTTCTGCTATCAATCAGAAGTATCTGCACTGCTGCGCTCCAGTCTGAAGGGTATAGGGAGCTAATATATTTACAGGCTGTAAGGCATTCTATCTTGGTCTCCAGGAGTGACGACATATCTCTAGTCTTCTTTATTTGAAGTTGATGGCATGTGTCCATGGCCAACAGTAGTCATTTATCATCAGGTGGTAAAGTTCGTTTATTACTTAAATTTTATTTAAAAAAAATTGTGAAAATTCTATTGCAGTTCAGACTTTGAATACTCTGACCTCGAACTCGAATTGACATCGATATCTAACTGTGTAACTTAAGCGCCTCAATATACCGACAGTCAATCTGGGATATACTTGTTTTCCACCCTTTTTTATAAATCATTATAATTTTGGTAATTAACATTTAAATAAAACTAGTTTTTACGGATTTTATCGCATATATTAACTTTTTCTATATTCCCGACGTTCAAAGTTTTTATTAATTCTTATTAATTTAATTTAAATGTGTAATGTTCGCTTAAATATAATAAATCATTTAGTAATACAGTTTTTTGTTTTAGCGGCAGCAGTAGAGCAGCCAGCTTAGACCGAAGCACACGAGGTTCCACAACTACGCTGAGTGCGGATGAAGACAATATAAATGTTGTAGTGAGGTAAATCAATAAAAATGTACACATCTTACTCAAGCCACGATTCGTTGGCTGCGTAACAAATTTCTTTTGTCCATTTTCTATTTTATAGCTTGGGATCGTACGAGAGGACAATGAAAAAATAAACTTCATAAGCTCCGATAGATGTCGGTACACGCTATCCCATGTACACCAGATCCAATAACCATCTAAGCTCTTCAGCGTCAAAGTTACAAGATATCTGCTACAGCCATCGCTAACCCACCACCCATGCGTGAATATTACGGCAAATACGTGTGGTAAAATTCATAAAGGAATCTGAACTCTATCTCTGTATCTGAAACCGTATCCGCGACTTGCCGTCGCCGCTGGAGACAGCAGGACTAGTTCTTTTTCGTCTGTATATAGAAAACCTAGCCAGTGTTCTTGGCACTATAACGCGAGGAACAGGACTGTAGTCTATTTTTAGTTTTTTTTTAAATTTTCGATTTAAATTTAAACAAAATTGTTTTGGTATATCGATGTTTCACAATAAAAAAGAAGTCAATGACATTATTTTAGCGAGAACCGACGTATTATGCAGGTGGATTATCTCGAAGTATTTTTAATGGTTAATTTTTTAAGTCCTTCAAATGAATACTATTTACATTGTAATTAGGCAGTTATTAAAATGGCTTAAATTGTTTTTGTTATATAGTCTTATTAGCAAAGAAAGTCAATGAATGTAAGTGGCTCAGGGTCGTATTTTGTGGCATGAACAAAATTTCTAATACATGGGGGGTAGCCCAAGCAGGGGAAGGCACGTTTTCTGTGTACATGAATAGTGGGCCACAGCATCCACTTACTACCAGGTGAAGAAAGAGTGTTTGGGTATTCTTCATCAAAAATTATCCATTTTCTGTGATGTTTGTGTTGTTAGCCAACCCATTGGTTTTAATTGCTTTAACGGAAGTTACAGCTTTATCGGACTATTAAAAATAAAAAGGACACATACCGTGTGTGCTTTCTGTTGTACGGCTATATTTTATATCAGTTTATATATTTAGAATCAAAAAACATGTCCTAAAATAAAATTATATAAAATTAATATATTATACTCATATGTGTATTGTTTTCTTACTGTAATAGCGTAACACAAGGATTGCCTACTGTATTTTACATTTATAATTTCACAAGAATATACATGCAGACTAGGAACAATTATTTGTAGGCCATACAAATACTTACACCGTGAGAGATTCGAACCCGCGGCCCTCAACGCCTCAACACATTGCTAAGCCACGACGCCACAGAACCGGCTTTATAAATCGATTTTCAGTGTGTCATTATTTTCTTTCACGACCGAACTAATGATATGTAAACAATAGCCATGGGATTCCTTGCATATTATGAATATTAAAGAAAAGCGGCCTTTACCTGAGTCACAAAGGCTCAGTAACAAACCTCCCCCCTCCCCTAAATTGGTGACGCCAAAGTGATGTTAACAGGCATCCACTTCAGAAAACTACAACCCACTTTGCCGAAGAAGGAAAAGGCGAGATTCCTAGGGGCAAGGTGATCGACCCGAGGAGCAACCAATGCGCCGTATGTTAAATTAGTACAGAGCTATTCTATATATAGCGCAGTTCTTCAGAACTGTGATAGCGTTATTTAGACTTTGGTGTGTTTCGCTCGTGGCGCGACGACAGCATTGTTACAAACCTTCGTGAAATACGTAAAAACAATAATCATCCCGTTTTAATAGAGTCCGGCCGGTTAATGAGACGGAGCGAAGTCACGGCGAACGGGAAATCCTTGAGTTTCCTGGGAAGGGTCAGGTGATCTGCCCCGCTACTGCCGCCGGTCAAAAGCACAAGGTCTTTTCCTACAATGTGGTTTTTGAGCCAGCTGCTTCTCAGGTACATTTCTTAGTCTTGATTACTCTGTCTGTTTTTCGTTTCATTTTCTTTGTTTTTTGTAAAATAAATTAATATATGCATTTGTTTAAGTAAATTAGCTTTTTATTGATAGGTTATATTACTATATCTGTACATAGATACATACCTCATAAGTACAATAATCATCATATCAAATTAATTTTAAACATTAAATCTCAGCTGACACCATATACTCAGTGTTAATTTACTCGTATTTTAGTTTTTTAGCATTTTTGTTGTAATGAAAAGCTGGAATATTTTTTAAAAACATTGATTCTTTGAGAGGAAACTAAAGAAATGATTAACAAATATGATGCATAGGTACATATCTGTGTGTATTATGTTTGTAAATATTATAACTACTTATAAAACTAAATGAGACTTAGCTGTTAAACAAAAAGTCAGTGACAACCCTGCAACAGTAGGCATTTAAGTCTCGCATGGCGCGGAATTTATCCTACTATTCTGTTTTTACTATGTACTGGCATGGCATGTAAGGCAATATTTTTATATATGTCCATATTATATGTCGTTGACTTATAGGCTCTGATTTCTGATAAGTTGCAAAATAAGAATCTCGTATTTATACCGTACTAGGGGTTCGCCCCGGCTTCGCACGGGTGATATCTGGCTCTCGACAACAGCGCCATCTACCGGGTACAATTGTGAATTTAAACCATTCTCGAATCAATTTAATCACACACACAAAATTTCATCAAAATTGAGGCATTTGGGAGAAATTCGGTCACATACACATAGACAGAAAAATTATATATGTATATATGTATATATGTATATATGTATATATGTATATATATATATATATATGAAGTCTGTGTATCGTCAGAGACTCAAGGGCAGTATAATATATCTATTAACAGGAGGACGTGCTGGAATACTCTGGAGTGAAGCGGTTGCTCGAGATGGCGGTGGAGGGTTTCTCATGCACTGTCTTCTGCTACGGTCAAACTGGAAGCGGGAAAACGCACACTCTTTCGGGACCTCCGGGACTGGTAAGATTATACTTTAAGCCTCTCTGTTTATCGGTCAAAATACTAAAATAACAGCTAAAAATTATCCTCAACACCTTCCTAAAATATTTATTTTACCATCAACAGTCCAGTCTTATTAGCCTCCTCCATAGATTGCCTCATGGATGGGATACTAGGAAGCTTAGAGGATACTTTAGATTTAGACGCTTGGAAAGCGTGGCTATTATTTTGGATATTACCATTATTTTGGTAACTTACTAGGTAACACAGTTTTATATTTTATTCTACAGTTATCAAGAAAATGCTGCTGTCCTTCTGCTGGGTCAGTTTACCCCCGTCTCTTACCATACCCACAGGATTTTATGGGGTAGTAGATATTCTTATAATATTTATAATATGGCAGGTACAAATCGTCTGATGGTATCGTATAAGAATCCATAACCTCATTAAGATGGTCTTATGGGAGATGCCAGAAAAATATTTGGCTTAAAAATCTTTTGACTTCTCGTTCGAGACGTAAATACCCAGACTGATGATGAAGAGCAGTGTCAAAAGTGCTCACTTTCTTTAATTCGCCTGCTATGATGCTGCTTCTTTAATTAACCTACCCTATGCAAACCCTCGTAAAAAGATAGAGGTTAATTTACCAACAGCGGAATTAAACGGATTTGGAAGAAATTTGCACAAAGGGACATAAGGACATTTTAATTGAATATATATATAGGACATAGGACATTTTAATTGACAGATGTAACGTAGAATAATAAAAATTCTTTGTTATATATTACTTTGTACGTGGTAGAGCCACGCTGCATATTATTGTTGTAGCACGAATGGGTCTGCTCGACCGGGTAAGGGCAACACTCTCACGGAATACCAGCATAATATAGCGATTTAATGCTGCTGTGTTGCGTATAGATAGTGTAGAGAGCCGGAGACCCTTTTTACTGGAAAGAGCTATTCCATCGTATTCCTCAGGGTTGACAACGCATCTACATTTTGATTCTTAATGGAAGATAAATGTAGATGTCTATGGACTATAACATCCACTAACTATCAGTTGGACTGTGTGCTCGTTTGTCAACCGCTTTCCATAAAAAACAAAAACTTCTTATTAAAGTACTCGAGAGTAACGAATTGTTTTTAAAAATTTCTTAGTCCGCATTAGTTCACGTGTTCGTGATCACTGTCAATTTGTGTTCTATTGTAGTCTCTTACATTAACGCGAACATTACAAATTGAATGAAACTAGTTTTTTTTATGGATTTATTGCGTCTGATTAGCTTATTTTCACATATTCTCGACGTTTCGACTCCTAAACTTTTAGCCGGATCTACACGTAAATTGGATCAAATTTTAATAATTATAAGTTCAATTCAGCCGTGGTTATGTGTACATCGGTCTAGAAATAAAGTATCTTCGGCTATCAATAGTACAGAATTTGAATGAAACTAGTTTCTACGGGTTATGTCACATTTAATTAACAAACACTTAAGCAGTTAAGCACTTAGGACTAAGATGTTCCGAACGAACATTCTACACTCTAGAATGTTCGTTGGGAACATCTCAGTTCCAAATGCTGTAAAGTATTATAAAAATATATAAAAATAAGTTAATTAAATGCGACAAAACCTGTAAAACTAGTATCATTCAAGTCCTATCGAGAGCTGAAGATACTGTAAATTACCTATAAACGTAACATTACCTACGACGTCCAAACAACCACATAAACGCAAATGAAAAATCACCAGGACGATTGATTAATAGCTTTCGTTACGATTCATTATGAAAACAAATCGATTTAGTCCAATTACGGAACACGATAATTCTATAGAAAGATCAATAAAACAAAATTTGGCAACTGAAATAAATCATAATAATTATTGAGTGTGTTTTGTATACGATGGTATGTTAGGAATTTTTATTTAGATTTAGAGGCACGCAAAATAAGTTTTAATTTCTCCTGTTGTAATATTGCTATAAAAATTAGTAAATGCTATTAACAAAGGAAAGTTTTGGAAACTTTTTTCGAATTTTAATTATTTTTATGTAATTATTGTGTAAAGTTGCGTTCTTTTATACTGCGAAAAAGCTTTGCTACATTTTGAATTTAAGTATAATTTAGGTTTTTAAATGTTTGCTTTGTTGACTGCCTTGTTTATCGTATTAAGTGTGTATTGTTACTGCAAATAAACAAAGAAGGCTTAGGCTGTTACTTTAATTGAAACTGGGAACACCTACAAACATGTGGCCCAAATATTATGAGTACAAAATCTGTGCTACACCTAGTTCGCAAAAGGTATCGGCAGATCGGACAATGTACGAGACTTGCAGGACGGGGACGTAAACTGAAAACTGTGGCCAGAGATGACCGTTTTATCGTTACCAGCTCAAGCTGGTAACCGATGTTCTGAGGTAAGAACGAAGCTTCATTAAGTAAATAAGCTTAAAAACTGAGAAGACTGAAATTACAAATAAATTCACACTTGGCTACCATCAGTTTTTGAATATTAATTTTTGGTCCGATTTACGCCAAACGAACTTACAGTATCGTGAAGTCTTGCAGTGGTATGCTTGGGTTTGGGTTTAATTTTGTTAATCATAGGATCCCGAACAGATGGCAGCACCCAACCATCTTCTCTATTGAAATTAGGATGTTTTTTAATTTCAATAGCCTCGCGTATCATCCTTGGTAGGAATCGGTGTTCTTTTGTGAGGATTTGTGGTTTATCAAATCTGATGTAATGGTGGCGACGATCTTGAACATGTTCACAGACTGCAGACTTCCCGGAGCGTCGGTGCTTCACATCAGCTATATGTTCTTTCATGCGGGTTTTTATAGATCTTTTTGTTTGACCTATGTAAGAGAGACCACATTCACAATTAATATTCAAAAACTGAAGGTAGCCGGGCTAACAATGACATTGGGACGTCAAACATCTCAGTCCCCCCCCCCCCCGTGACCATGGTTGCTGTAAAGCACCCGAAACGTCGGGAATTAAAAATAAGTAAAATCAGTTAAATAAACGCGATAGAATCCGTAAATTTAGTTTTATTCAATGTTGTTAGGTTAGCTAATTACGTAATAACTTAAAACAGAAGGACCGTTAAGTAGGGACTGAACAAATTAACCGACTTGGTATTAGATGGATCTCACAACTTTTTATGGTAGAAGAACTGAGTTGCGAGACTTGGTTTTTTTACAAGTTATGTTTTTAATGGCATTACATATACGAGTACTATGAGCCTTAGTACTGAGCATACGTAATCGCAATACGCTAGTTGGTTCAAATTAACAATTTCAGAATTGAATCTGGGTATGGGCCCTGAGCTACCACTATCCTATGCATGAGTTCATTTTTAAAGCAATAACGGAAACAGCCGATCAAAAAAAGTACATTCACATAATCAACACCAAAGGCCCAACAATTGCGGCGTCCTCGCGGTCCGATCGATCGACTTTGACGCCTCCAACTTATCGCCGTAGGTATTACCGGACAAATCGCATTGTTACATTATCATTTGTCAGCTTTTGTTATAATGAACTTTAAAATAACTTGAAATTTATTTGTTTTCTACTGTGACGAATTTTACGGATTTCATCGCGTATTATTTTTACTCAGTTTTTAAATTCTTGATTTTTGGTTGGCTTACAGTAGTACGATCTGCTCTCGATACGACGATGCACTCAGTATTGAGCCGTTTGTAGGTTTCCGGTGCTGCTGCTGCTGCTACTGGTGCTGCTGCTTTTGATGATGATGATGATGTAGTAGTAGTAGTATGTAGGTAGGTATGATTTTTTTATAGGATAGGGGGCAAACGAGCATACGGCTCACCTGATGGTAAGTGATTACCGCCGCCCATGAACAACTGCAACACCAGGGGAATTGCAGATGCGTTGCCGGCCTCTTAAAAAGGAGTAGGCTCTTTTCTTGAAGGTCCCTATCGGAAGTCGTATCGGAAAAATCTCTGATGGTAGTCGATTCCACAAGGAAGTTGTTCGAGGTTAGAAAACTTATTTTAAATCGCACGGTGGTGGACCGCCAGTCATCCAGATGGTATGGATGGTATTGTGAGTTTTGTCGCGATGTGCGATCGTGAAATTGTGCGGCTGGAATTAGTCCTCAGTTCCAACAATTCTTCAACAAACAATTCCTCAGTACACTCCCCGTGGTCGATTCGATAAAATACGCAAAGAAATGCAACATCTCTTCGCAGTGCCAGTGAGTCAAGTCGATCGGAAAGAGCTCGGTCGCCGACGACTCGAACAGCTCTGCGCTGGATGCGATCAAATGGAAGGAGCTGGCACTGGGGAGCCCCGGCCGAAAGATGGAAACAATATTCCCTGTGCGGCCAAACCTGAGCCTTGTAAAGTTGCAGGCGGTGAGCACACCAAACTTTTTAGAGGCCAATTTGCCCTTCTCTTCCAAGTGACCACGAAACTGCACGTCACTCGATATGTCGACGCCTAGGATTCCGATACTGGCTGAGGCAACAAGGGGAGTGCCTTGAAACTGAGGAGATACGGCTAAGCGGTTTTTTTAACGGTAAACGCGCAAACTGTGCATCTGGGGATTAAACTGGACTAGATTTAGTCGCCCCTAGTCCTAGACTTTGTTCAATAAAGTTTCAACTTCAGACAAAAGTTTGTTCCGTTACTCTGCGACGTTTTCCTGAGAAATATTGGCACGGCCGGTGTATAAAGCATTACCAGTGCGTCTGCATAGCAATGAATGTTACCGGTTTGCAACAAACAACGTTGGTAGCACGCAGCCTTGTGAAACACCAGCGTAAATGGACTTGTAACCGGAGCATGCACCGTCTACTAAGAAATTGATGCTCCGATCAGCAAGAAAACTGATGATCCAATTGCACAATTTCTCGGGAAGCCCGTAGGCAGGAAGCATCGTAAAAAGGGCATTGTGCCTAACCTGATTGAAGGCCTTCGCTATGTCCAAACTAACGGCCAACGCCTCCCCCTTGGACTCTACTGCCTCCGCCTATTTATGAGTCAGGTAACCCAGAAGATCATCAGCAGAGCGACTGCGACGGAAACCGTACTGGCAGTCACTCATCAGCTGGTGATCTTCAAGGTACTGCATGAGCTGGCTTTTATTAACGGATTCCATTATTTTAGAGAACAAGGAGCTGATGGCAATAGGCCTCTAGTTGGACGGATCAGAGTGGTTATCTTTTTTAGGGATCGGGTGCACGAACGCTGTCTTCCATGAAACAGAAACATAAACAGAAACTTTTTTATTCAATGTAGATTATAAGCAATACTTATTGAAAGTCAATTTTTTCATGTACCACAGGTTCGCAAAAAAAACCTCTGTCCTGAGAAGAACCAGCAAGAAATCCAGCGGGACTATCTTTTTTTCAAATAATAGCTTACAATCATGTTTACAATTAACAACACAAAACAAATTAGAAATAGCTTGGTAGCGATCACCCTTCCCAGCGGTTATTATCATCCATAAATTCCTTAATATTATAATAACCCTTTTTATACAAACTTAGTTTAATAACAGTTTTGAACTTTGCCTATGACACATTTTGTATATTTACTGGGATTTTGTTGTAAAAGCGTATACATCGCCCCAAGAATGAATTACTGACTCGGTGGAGTCGAGTAACTGGTACTACTAGCTTGTGTAGCATGATTTCGGAACTACGCCGAGGGAGTAGGAGTACCGGAAAAGACGCGTTAAAGTCGGTGCCACCTCCGGAGCACACGTCTTCAGCACAATAGGAGGGACGCCATCCAGACCACTCATTGTTGACGTCCAGGGAGAGAAGTGCTCTGCGCACTGATCGTTGGGTAAAAAGGACATCCTGCATGGAGCACTCACTCCACGGCATGGTTGGCGGTGTGTTCCCCGCGTCATCAGGAGTCGAGTTGGACGTTGAAAGAGTATAGTAGCGTATTGCTGCTGTGTTTCGTATGGTGAGTGTAGAGAACCGGAGACCCTTTTTACTGGAAACGAGCCACTGCATCCTTACGGGTGAAAACGCATCTGCATTTTGATTTGCAATCGAGGATAGATGTAGATGTCTATGGGCCGCAGCAACCACCATCAGGTGGACTGTGTGCTCGTTTGTCACATTATCCTATAAAAAAGAGAGCCCAGCATATAAGCTTTGTCCTTTGCGGCATGGGCCAGTGAGTCATCTTTCCTGTGCAGAGATAGGAGAGATGGCTGACAGAAGTTCCCTTGGACAGCCTTGACAAGAGACCAGAATCCACGTGTTCCCGTAGAAAACGAACTAGTTTCTCGCCAATTCTGCTGATGTGCTCCAACTTTACCTTGACAATAAAATTTTTGAAAGACCTGGCGGCAGAATTGTACTTCTTTTTAAGAGCGCTGGTATTTGCAACCCGAGACGTCGATACGCGAGCCCAGGCCTTGCAGCACTCTTGCTTATGACGTAGTGTAATTTTGCAGGAGTGACCAAACCAAGGCTGGGTTCTGCCTTCGATATGTTCCACAAACGATGGAATAAAAAGTTCCATTCCCTGTAGCACCACATGAGCGACAGAATCAGCAACAACGCTGGGATCATCCGGCGAGAAGCAAAACCGCCTCCAAGGGTAGGATGCAAAAAAAGATCGCATCCCGTCCCAATCTGCAGACCTGTAATGCCAAACACGGCGGCAACCTGTAGTACGCTACCGTGATGAGAGCATGAGTGGCACCGTACTCCGGATCAGACAATGGTTCGAGGAGTCATTGACGGAGACCTGATATCTGTCCGGATGAGAAGTCAGTAGAAGGTCGAACAGGGAAGGTTTTCCACATCTGGGATCCACGTAGGCGAGGTAACCAGTTGTGTCAGACCAATCAGTGACGAAGCCTCCATAGAAGCCCAGAAGCCCGGCTTGACTTATCAAGCTGAATCAATCAATAATATCACCTAATGAAATAACTCGTAAACTGTTTCAAACTATTTCAAATTTCCCGGGCACTCTGTTCGATACGTTCGTAGCCTTAGGGATACTAGTGTCATACATATCAGGAGAGTTGAATTGTGCGATTGGTTGTCTCTCTCGCACGAGGGGGCTTTTTACCGGGCTTTCGAGACGACGATCGCTCTCTTTCTAATCTGTGGCAAAATGTTCTATAATGAAATATATAGTATGGAGATAAAAAGTCCGGCTTTTTAGTGACCATTTATTTTTTTCTCAGAGCGGGACGCCTTTAAAATTATTATAGTTTTAACACTTTTGACTGCCTTCTTGGTCTAACGGTCGTAAACGCAATTGCTGATCATGTGGTCCAAAGTTCGAAACCTAAGTCGTGTCAAGAATCATTTATTAGGTTTTTCTGTCACAAATTCTCAGTAGCAGTAGTATTACACTTGGGCAATATAATCCAAATGCGCAGATGGCTATTTTCCGTTGAAGATAGCCGCCGTTACCAAAATTCAATCTGGAGCTCTTTTAATATAGTTTTATAATTAAAACACATAGTTGTTTGAATCTTTTAATGATCAAAAGTGAATTCTGAACATCAAATAAATACTAATTGGAAATAACTTATGTTATTTGATAATTTATTGTAGATTAATTAAAAATTGTCACTTCGTAACTTTAAATTCAAAAGTGAAGCTTTTCAGAATAATCACGTAACTATACAAGCCATGCTGGCAAACCTGGTACGCACGGTGTTATTATGATGGCATAGGTGACAGAGTTTGCATGATTGTTACGCTTTAGTTTGTCAAAGCCGGACATTTTTACGTATTTTGGTGACAGCGCGACACAAACCTTTAAATTGGGAACGTCCTGCCTAAAGTGGGACGTATGGTCACGTTAGGTATGAAGTTAGTCGAGACACGGAGGCGCGTGGGTGACGCCGATGATATTTTTGCAAGTTCACGTCAAATTTCAATGTTTGCATTGTGTGTTGAGCTTGAGCGAATATATTATAATGTAAAATATTGCGAGTTTAAAATTTATACTTTTTTAAAGATTTTTAGTGAAAATTAAGGGAAAGAGTGTTCCTTGTGATGAATATAAGTGCTAATCGACGAGGAAAATGTAAAATCTTTAAAAATGAAATTTTAATTCAATAAACATTTCTTCACACTTTAATAGGTACAGAACTCTTTAGTATTAAAGTGTAATTATTCTAGGCGTATTTAAAGGTTTATTAACTCAATACTTATATTACCATATGACTTAAAAATATAATTTTGAACTGCAGCATAAAATATGAGATACCTACGTATAAGTTTAATTTTATAGCAAATAATTGTTATAATCTATTTTTTTAAGTGAAGCTCAAATTTTAATGTAATAAATTAAATGAATATATTATGTATTGAGGTTTTAAAAAATATTTCCTTTAGTCTCCAGTATATTAAATTTTAATAGCGTCATCTACTTAATTCATTGAATTAATTTTATCGAACTAACATTGATTGATTCTCACGGTGGTACGTAAAGATTACGCTAGATGGCACAAACACTCTATTGGCTAATTTAATATTTATATTACCTTAAGAGTTAAAAATATCATTTTGTACGGTTTGTTAAAATTGAAAATGAATAATTATATAATAAATAGTCATTATTTTATGGTAAAAAAATTTGCAAAGCTTTGTCTTCTCATTATACCATATCTAATTACTGTCGTAATCTGTTGTTCTATGCATATAACTTAAACAAAATAATTCCGATGTTTCACATCTGACAGGCGTCTCTTTTTCAATTTTGTACATAGTTTGTTTGTACTTTGTTCATGCTTTTCTTTTGTTCATGTATTGTATTGTATGTAAATATCTTTTTCTTTCGTTCAAGCAAACCCAAACGGCTCTTTTCAAAGCCACCGAAGCTATGCAATTGCATATGTCATACAATCTATCTAGTGGTAGTATACCTTCTGTGTGCTTTGTTAAACATGTCCTCGACAGAACTGAATATGAAGTGTGGAGACATATCAAGATTCTTGGGCTTGCCCTTGTTTGGAGCCCTAGCTTCGCCACTGCAGACCATATGCCATAGCAAAGTCATAAACAGATCTACCCGCATGATCGGTTAAACGAGAACCAAGCCATTCAGCGTGGTGAGCGTTAAAATTACCAATTATCACGATCTCTGTGGATAGGATCTGTTGTAGCACGGAGTCTGTCACGCTATGGGAGGCACTCGTAGACGCGGGGATGGTCGTGGCTGTCTACGCGCAGCCATAAGATGGACAGGTCCGTACCCTCAAGGTTGCCGAGGCGTCGAAAACAGATGGCCTCTCTGACGTACACGCAAACTCCAGCCCGGGGCGAAAAAGAATGTGTTCTAATTTGTACCCCGGGTAGGAGAGATACGAAGTATCAGCCGGAGAGGACACCTGTGTCTCGGTTAGAAAACAAGGTTAAAGAGCAACGCCGGCTTCACTGTTTCCAGATCGTAGTGGACGGCGTTAAGATTTGAATGAAATCCCCTGATGTTGTTATATGAGATGGCGAATCCTCGCCACAACGAGAGGGTCCATACCCAGCAGTGGTCTTTAACGGGCCAATAAAGAAGATGAAAGATATGTTTATTATATTTGCAGATTGAAAGCGGAGCAAGTCCATATTCTTCGGAGCACGGGCTGGTGGTGCGTTCTTTCGTATATCTCTTCCAACTGATACGTGATCGCCCTGACTGCCATTTTATCCTAAAGGCTTCCTTTCTAGAAATTTATAATGAGAAGGTTAGTACCGTCTAAGAGGAATGTCCTGTTGTCAAAGTGTTTGTGTTTGTATGTGTGTGTGTGTGTGTGTGTGTGTGTGTGTGTGTGTGTGTGTGTGTGTGTGTGTGTGTGTGTGGGTGTGTGTGTTTCTGTGTGTGTGTGTGTGTGTGTGTGTGTGTGTGTGTGTGTGTGTAAGCGTGTCCACGTGTGCATGCGTATGTGTGTGCTTTCTTTAATTATTGTTTTTGTGTCATGGTACGGCCAGTGTTGGTCCGACACAAGAGTGAATACTAAAGCGCTAGATCTGGTATTTAGAATTTTCCCATGTTATTATACCGCAGGTAAGTTTGCAATAAACGTATCGTAAATGTCGTAATATGCCATAAGAGCTGTTGTTTGTGATGCATACATTGTAAGGTTCAGTAATATGTAAGCAAATCAGTTGATTTTAAGTACAAAATGGACCAATGTGTATGCCAAGAAAGGAAGTTTCATATTCTTGTTTCCTTTGTTCGTCATTGATTAATATATTCAGCTTTACTTCATATTTTTAAACTATTGCATAGCTTCTATCGCGGGCCTTGAGCGCGGGGACCGAATCCAAAAATTCCGTAACGAAAAATACCTCACGCTCCCCACTCTGACGGGCACGGAGGTGTGGCGTTGAAAGCCGTGCATCGTCTAACGTCGTTTCAGTTCGACAGACTTCGGCACTCGGCAGAGTTCGGCACAGTGTTTGTGTGCGTGCGACTAGACGTATGCGTGTACACTAGCTGCTAACTCAATGATAAAAATTCCTGAATAACCTACATGTATTGTAAGATATTAAAAATATTTTAAACAATATTAACTTCTCATTGATTCAAAAAGAGAAAAAAATTGTTTTCTTATCGATCACCACGTTCAAAAAGTGTAACTTGATTTAATATCAAAGACTTAACTGCATAAATAAAATAAATAAATAATTATAATTGCATAAGTTGATAAAAAATGCTATGCAATAGCTTTACCGCGGCAGTCACCGAGTGCCACACGTATTTTTTTTTTACTAATTTGTATCAACAAATATTATTTTAAAGCATTATTATCATTTACGAAACCAATGTCAGTTTTTTAGCATGAAAAGAAATGAATAACGTGGCAATATCATCTGCTACTAAAGTTAATAATTTATTATAATATATATTAGAAATGGGGTATCATTTATAAACAATATATGTAAAACTGGACCAAGTGCACTGCCCTGTGACACGCATATCTATTAATTTGATATGGTGATGTATACTGCTCAAGTTCTTTATTATAATTTTTAGCATTTGTTTTAGATCTTCAAGATATGATTTTATCCAATTAAATGCCGGTCTGCAAATGCCAAGTTTTTAAACTAGAAGTTTATGTGAAATGAAATCAAACGCGTTACTCATCTACGAATATTAATGAATTGTCAACTATTTAGACGACAATTCATTAATAATTTTATTAACAACTTTTTTACAAGAAAAACATGCATGTGTAGTTAGAGAGATATTATAGTGCAGTAGATTTTTTGCTTTAGAAAACAAATTATTCACTTTTTACCACATTAAATTTTGAGCCGAATTCTATAATACGCTTGTACATTAATTTTACCAGTAAAAAATCATACGAATTAGCAGCATCATCTTATCATCAACTCTCCTAGTTGTAATTATGATAAAATTTATATTTATCACATAAAATATATATTTTTAGGTGATAGATTTGCTCAATCCAGGCTCGTCGAGAAAACCTCTGCAAGTGCGATGGTCCAAAGAGAGCCGCAGCTTTTACGTGGAGAATCTGTTTACTGTCGATTGCGAGGAGCTTGACGATTTGTTTGCTGTCCTTGAAGAAGGTGATTTAAAACTTTTTATCTCAAAAGTCATCCCACTTAACCAAACTTATCCATACTCGTTGTACCGTTCATACTATAAGATTAAAGGTAAATTCGGATGCAGTGTCAGATACATCGGATGTTCCGATCTCAGTACAATCAAATCTAAAACCCAACAATTTGAGTTTTTGCACAGATGTTGGCGTCAGCCGGAAATCAAACCCAGGAAATAGCAGCCACTCTTACCACTAGGTCACGTGGTTGTCATTTTTTGTAATTTGTAGATAGATTTTCCAACCTTAGACCTTAGATTTTCCAATACGTGCAATTTATATGTCCTTCGTCAGCACCTCCGCAACAATTTATAAAACAATGACGCGCTTATCTTTGAAGGAACCAACAGCGTAAGGAAACCTGTCATGTAAGACAAACAACTGACGTGGAAACTCTCTTCTACGCTGTAACTAATATAGAAAAAGCCTGTTAAGTTTTATGAGAAATCGAAACAAAGACAAACGTTTAATAAATTTTCGACTACACTTGTTAATTTGTGGCCGTGGTATGAAGCGGGGAGCGGCCGACACTCCGAGTGATAGTTCGGAGAAGTTCTATATATACTGTCTATGATTCGGAATGTTGATAGCGTGATTTAAGCTTCGGTGTATTTCGCTTGTGGCGCGACGACAGCGCCGCTACATCACCCCCCTGCTCAGACCGGAGGTCGATAGTGCAGCCTCGTTGCCGACGAATGTGCAAGTGCCAGGAGATTGCCTTGTAGTCTGCGGTGAGTCGAGAAGAAGGCAAGTAATTTGCGAGAGTGCCGTGAAGCAGAGGCGAGCAGTAAGGCTCAGAGCCGTGACGAACACTGTATGGCGCAGAGAGTAGCTTGAAGGAACAGGAAGCATTATTATTCCAGTGCTGCGATGAACCTTGTGAAGCTAGATGGCTTGCAGGATATGAAGACTGCAGACGATATCTGCTCGGGAGCGAATGGGTTGGGTATTCTATGACGATGATGAAGCTTGAAGTTTCCGAAGGTTGTTTGGTTGTGTGTTCAAATCACGTCGGGTGGTCACCACTGTGGCCGTGGTATGAAAAGGGGAGATCTCCAGCCGGGCAAGGTGTTCTGCCCGGGGAGCGGCCGACACTCCGAGTGATAGTTCGGAGAAGTTCTATATATACTGTCTATGATTCGGAATGTTGATAGCGTGATTTAAGCTTCGGTGTATTTCGCTTGTGGCGCGACGACAGCGCCGCTACAAATTTATCGGTTTACGATAAATCTGTAAAGCTTATGTTTATACCCTAAAATATCAATTTCAATATTGTGAAATTATTATCAAATTAATAGAAAAAATTGCTTTATTTCTTGATATAGGCAATTTACAGTAGAGTATAGACTTATTTCTTTATATATGAGACTACTACTACTAAGTGACTACAACTGCAATTCCAGGGGCCTTTTAAAAAAGAGTAGGCTCTTTTCTTGAAGGCCCCTAAGTCGTATCGGTCCGGAAAAATCGCTGGTGGTAGACGATTTCACAAAGAAGTTGTGCGAGGAAGATAACTCCTTATAAATCACACAGTAGTGAACCGCTAATTATCCAGGTGGTAAGGATGGTATCTCGAGTTCTGTCGCGATGTGCGATGATACCGCTCAGGCTGGAACTAATCCAAACAATTTCTATGAGCACTCCCCGTGATAAATGCGATAGAATATGCAAAGAGATGTAACATCTATTCGTAGCGCCAAAGAGTCAAACCGATCAGAAAGTGCTTGGTCGCCGACGAATCGAACCGCCCTGCGCTGGATGCGGTCAAGTGGAAGGAACTGGCACTGGGGAGCCCCGGCCCAGAGATGGAAATAGTATTCCATGTGAGGCCGAATCTGCGCCTTATAAAGTTGCAGGCGGTGTGCCAGCATGAAATACTGTCCTGCTCTGCTGAGCTCGTCAAGCTATTTAGAGGCTAGGTTGGCCTTTTCTTCCATGTGACCACGAAACTGCACCTCATTCAATATGTCGAGGCCGATAATTTAAATACTGGCTGAGGTAACAAGGGGAGAACCGTGAAACTAGGGAGATACAACAAAGGGGTTCTTTTTAGCGGTAAACACAAAATTTTGTCTTCTAGGGATTGAATTGTACTAGATTTAGTCGCCCCAATCAGAGACCTTGTTCAAAAATATCTTGACTTCAGACACAAGTTTGTTCCGGTACTCAGTGATGTTTTTCCGAGAAATATTGGCACGACCGGTGTATACGAGTAAAGCATCATCAGTGCAGTCTCCGCTAGCAATTAATCAGTTTACAACATATAATTGATATGCGGAAGAAACAGTGTTGATGATAGCTCGCAGCCTTGTCGAACACCAGCGTTAATGAGCTTGTAATCGGAGCTTGCACCGTCTACTACGACCCTGATGCTCCGATCAGCTAGAAAACTGATGATCAACAGGTATCACAAGATCACAATTTCTCGGGAAGCCCATAGGAAGGAAGCTTCAAGAGCGCTTTGCGCTTTGTGCCAAACCCGATCGAATATTTAGTCTTCAAGTGAAGATATTATAAGGCACCTTAGCGAAACACGTTTTACCGTTTTTAGTTAATATTTGTAAGCTATTTATAAGTTTCATTTCTAAAGCGTGAGAGCTTCACATATTTTTAACTAGTTAATATAATGCCTCATTATTACATTTAACTCCCCAGTGGTGACAAAGTATCCATAATTTGATTCTTAATGAAGGTTTTATAGAGGTGTCTAAGTGCCTCAACATACAATTACTTCAGGTGCACCCAGTTCGTTTGCCATCCTTAGGTACTTTTATAAAAACATGCAGTGGGTTACTCAAAATGCGAACTGAAATATAAATAATAATTAAGAGCGATGATGAAACTAAATTATAAATATTATAAGGGACGTTGATAGGCTTACCCAGTGATGCAGCAATAACAGAATGTGCTTAAATACAATTAAATTGAATCATGATAAATACTCCAGTAAGCAGAATTTAATACATGTATTACTTTATTCATAATATTAAAATTAGTATCTAACATTACTATGAGAGCATCTAAAATGTTAGACTTTGTCATAAGGAACTCGAAAAATATGCATTATAAAACTAAAATATTTCTTTACAGTACTAGTCTTAATAGTATATATTATAATCTAGTCCTTAATATTTTAGAATATTATAGTGTGGTCTAGAGACCCCACTATGCTACACATTTATTACGAAACGTTTTCTCCGGCATCTAGCATTTTCTGTAGGTTTACCTATAAATATTAAATTGCATCAGTTTCATTTGTTACCTTAAAGTGTCGCAGAACGTATAATGATGCAATTTTTGTACATAAACTTTTACATTTAATTGCCCCAGTTCAATGGAATTTTTTCAGTATCGTATCCCTCGAGATGACCCCGCAGCGCTATTGCACCATTTATTTCACTTATTCCTAATACAGTTTTCTTAATGGTGGTTCCATTGTTCCAAAACTGTATTGAAAAGGAATTTGCCTTATGCCAGATTCTGTAAAATTAATATCTGTTAAAAATTTTAACTGTATCCTATAAAAAAACTTTCCGTGCGGTAGGTGTATTAGATAGTAATTTTTGACTACCGCTACACTATAAGCACAAAATTTGTAATAAGGTAGGTGATGGTAATATTAAACTTTGCCACTCTATAAAACCAAAACTAAGAGGGCAAATACAAAAACATAAAGTCGTATACTAAAACTTGTAAAGATACAAATGGCAAACAAGCTTTTGTAATAGTTAGTAACACTTCGAAAAATCTATTTAAAAAAACTAACTACACTACAACATACTAAGATCTTTTAAAATATTTATTTATGAGAAAGTGAACATATTAACCGGATGACTATATTGCCCTTACGTACTATAGTACTGTACTAAAGTAAGACCAACACGCCATCATGAGGTTTTTATTACAAAATACGAGTTATGAACGAACACACAATCTACCTAATGGTAAGTAGATGTTGTGGTCCGTTGACATCTACATCTACGCTTAGTTGAAAATCAAAATGCTGATGTGTCGACACCCCTGAGGACTGCGATCGCAGTAATCTATGACTGCGATGGAATGCCTCGCTCGTTTCCAGTAAATATAGTCAGTGAGTAGTTAATACTACAATAGGTACGTTTGTGAAGGCACGCGCAACCGAGCGGTGGGCGCACACGCGATGAATGCGCACTCGTCCCGCTCGCACACACTGTTGAGCGTGCGCGTGCGGCGCGACGTACGCAGCGAGCGTGACGTCACGTGCTCCACGCATGGCAAGATCAACTTCGTCGACCTCGCCGGCAGCGAGATCACCAAGCGCACGCACAGCACCGGCAAGACGCTGGAGGAGGCCAACAATATTAACAGGAGCCTCATGGTGTTGGGTGAGCTAGACCAATATTTTGTAGAATAAGGGTGAGCAAACACAAGAGAGCACACAGACAACCTGATAGTAAGTGAATGCTACAGCCCATAGACATCTATATTTCTATCTTCGATTAAGAATCATAATGCAGATACGTTGTCAACTTTGAGGATTAAGATGATATGTCTCTCGTTGCCAGTAAAAAGTCTCCGGTTCTTTGCACTTACCGTATGAAATACAGTAACATTAGGCTGCTATTTGACGCTGATATTCTTTGAAAGCATGGTCCTTCTTCGATCGAGCCGACCCATTCGTGCTGCAGCATTAAGCTGCTATTTGACGCTGATATTCTTTGAAAGCATGGTCCTTCTTCGATCGAGCCGACCCATTCGTGCTGCAGCATTAAGCTGCTATTTGACGCTGATATTCTTTGAAAGCATGGTCCTTCTTCGATCGAGCCGACCCATTCGTGCTGCAGCATTAAGCTGCTATTTGACGCTGATATTCCTTGAAAGCATGGTCCTTCTTCGTTCGAGCCGATCCATTTGTGCTGCAGCCATAATATAGCAGCAGTATGGCTCTACCACATACCATATGGCTCTACCATATACCATATAATTTATTCAATAACTTGTTAATTACAGCCTACAGTTGTTTGACTGTCTTAGTTTTAGTGATACTACCGACTTTTGATGTGGTAAGTGCGACTACTTATCGTGTGGTTCCGGGTTCAAATTCAAGGTCAAGCCAAAATTATTAATTAGGCTTTTCCGTCAACAAATCCCTAATAGGAAATAGGTGATGTTTCACCACCAAGCCTCACAATCTCAGAAAACACTTAAAGCCGTTAGTCCTGATCTCTGGTGCCACCGGACGTGGAGCCTGATCTCTCTCCGATCGAATCGGATTACCGTTCCATCGGTCTATAAGAGTGAAAAAATAGAGAGTGCATTATAATCCTGTCCTGCGTAGATGGTAAGTTTCCGCTGAGACTCACTGCCGAGACTGAAATAAAGTCTAGAGGACATTACCGCCTTTCAAATATCCATGGCTGTACATAGGTTTTCCACATAGATAAACTCATAGGGGGATATTTACCGTATTTTCCACGATTTAGAGGCGGTTTCGCAAGTGCAGTTTTTTTATTATTTTGATCAGTTTTCTTACAGTCCTTATCACTACCCCAGATGATCCCGTGGGTGTCGTAAGAAGCAATCGCACCCATCGAATGATATGGGTTAGACTCTTATGACACCCAAGGTTGAGAAGTGGTTGCTGTAATATTACACTACCAAACCTAAAATTTATATATATTATATATGTCACAGCCAACTAGCGTAATTATCCTTTCAGTTAACACCCTAGACTTTTTATTAAACGGCTCCTCTCGATTAATGAAATTTATAAGGTGACCATGCCATGTAATGCCGCCGGTCTGTGCCTAATTATGTCCTATGTGCTATATTATATAAATGTACGCGGATTAAGGGTGGTCCTAACCTACTGTCGCTGATATTACAAGATAGGCGCAATGTTGTATTAGCCGAATCGGCTGAATTTATTCAGCCGCTTTGCGAACTGCGCCGTTTAGTAAAAAGCCTAGCCTTTTACTAAGCTAGTTGGCTACGACATATAGTGTATATTATTTAGACCATGTTGTACTGTACAAATATATAAAAGAAAATGATAAATATACATAAATAAATCTTTAAATTTACATTTGATTCGTTACATATTACCTATTTATATTATATTATTGTTTAACAGGTTACTGCATAGCACAACTAAGCGACGGCAAGAAAAGAGGTCACATACCGTATCGCGACAGCAAGTTGACAAAGCTACTAGCAGATAGTTTAGCGGGGAATGGAGTCACGTTAATGGTAATGTTCTTCTTGATTTTTTAACTTCACGTAATAGTCTTGCTCGAATCCATTCAATCATTCAATAAAGCCTATCAAAAGACCACTGATAAATATAGGCCTCCCCCATAGATTTCCTCAAAGAGGAGGATTTGCCATAATTTCAACGCTTCATTGACTGGTTGGTAACCGCAATTTTTTATACATTATTTTAGGAAGATGTTGCTACCCATCTCCTACTTCAGTCTCCCTCTGTTGCTACTTCCGACACCCATGGGATGATATGGGGTAGGTAGTGGATATACTTTCGCCACCACTGCAGGACATAGGCCCCTTTAGTTAAAAGAAGAGTTTGTCATAATCACCACGATTGGTCGGTGGATTTACGATCACAGTCCCTTTTTTTCACAGTGGGCCTGACCACTGAAAAGCGATGGCCGATGAGGCCGAATCCCAATGTGCGCAATAAAATTAATCAAGTGGAATTTAATATTTTGATTCCTCTGATGTTGTATAATGTAGATTATTTATTTATGTATATAGGTTTTATGGCTGCTGTCGAATTTCAGGATAAATCAACGTGTTAGGGTGGGCACCAGACAATATTGTAAATTAAAATGTAACTCAGCTTTAAAAATAAGACTCCAGAATCTCTTGCAGATTCTTCTCCGAAAAGGTTTTGTTATATTGATGATAAATAAATATTGCTAAAAAGAAATTTCTGATAGAGTCTCTCTGACAGAGTGCCGGATATGTGGAAAGTCGTCCGGCACGCGTTGAAACTTTGGAAATAAAAACTTCTTTAGGCACGTTGGTACAGAATGGAATACAATAGAATATATTTTTTAATTTAATATAGATTAGGTACGTGTAACTCTTATTCACTAGGTTCAGGAAAAAATCTGTCCTGAGAAGAAGGAACAACAGACCCAACGGGATTTTTTTAAATAAATTTTATAATGTGAATGGTTACAAAATATTATAACAGAGTAGATAATAGTACTACGTAAGGTTGGGCACTTTTGGGTTGGGGGAAAAGCACTGGACAAGCGTCACTCTTATACCCTCAGATACTTAATACGTTGATAAATATATTTTCTAATAAAAAATTTCTACGTATTCCATTAAAATATTTCTTCACGACCCAAAAATAATATTTACAAGTTTGTGAATCTAAGTTTTCATTTCAGACGTGCAATCCTAAGCATAAAATAAAATAGCCTTTTATACCTCATTATTTACACTTAATAAATTTGTTAGAAATTCATTTTTAATAGCTAGTACATGCATTATTATAATATTAGAGTTACATTCAATTGGAAAATTAATTTACACTCAAAATCAATTTAATAACTTTAAGTACATGCATTACTATAATGTAAGAATTATATTTAATTGGAAATTTCATTACACTGAATAAATTTGTTACAAAATTAATTTAATAACTTTAAGTACATGAATTATTATAACATTAGAATTACATTCAATTGGAAATTTCATTTTGCATTTAATTTGCTTTCTAATTTAATTTTTATATAAAACAATTTTGACATTTTAGTTTCACAAATTTATATTATTAGTATTTTCTTTAAATAATATTTTCTTACAATATAGATCTTATTAATTTTTTAAATAGATTCGTAATTATTTTAGTACTTATTTATTATTTCAAGTACATTTATAATTTTAATTTATTATACCTGTTATTTGAGGACCCCTCTTCGGGTAAAGGCTGCCCATACTTGTCTGTCCTGTGCCTTGTTCATCCAGTTTTTCCCAGCTGTAGCCATCACCTCGTCGACCCATCTTTCTTTTGGCCTGCCTTTTGCACGTATTCCAGCTGGTCCTTGCCACTCTGTCACCAATTTAGTCCATCTGTGGTCAGAAATGCGTGCTAAATGTCCTTCCCATCGCCATTTCAACCTTTGACCGTGATGAAGAACGTCTACTACTTCTGTTTTGTTCCTTAATTCAGAGAGGACGCGGCAGCGCACAGTTAACATTAGCTCCGATATAAAAGCAATTAAAAAGTGCCTTTTGACTAACGCATTCAGGGCACCATTGACTTTGTTCCCGGCAGCGCCACGCCTGTCCACATCTAAATCACATCTTCCATCCCGGCTGAAAGCATTCCCCAAGTATACAATTTCATTTACCTGTTCTAGACATTCCTGATTTACCCATATTTCACATTTCGTTCTCTCTTCGTCCTTTTCAAATACCAGAACCTTAGTTTTATTAACATTCAAACGGAGACCTTTAATTTTACATTCCTCTTTCATACACGTGACTAATGCCTGCAGTTCTGCTTCTGATGGTGCAATAAGCACTGCATCATCAGCATACAACAGACAATTTACTTTAATGTCACCCAATTTCACACCCAAACAGCTATTTTTCAGCTTCTGTAAACAGCTGTCGAGATACAGTATGAACAGCCAGGCAGACATGACACAACCCTGTTTTACGCCCGCTTGGACGCTGAACGCTGAACGCTTGAACATGGGTGACAGGTCATGCCATATCCGCACACAGGCTTTACAGTCATAGTAAAGTGACTGCACAGCTCTTAACAATCGACCATCCACACCATATTCCGGCAACAGTTCCCACATTTTCTTCCTTATAACCTTATCAAATGCTTTCTCCAGATCCACAAAAGCACAGAAAATCCTCTGGTTAACAGCCAGAAGCTTTTCCGTGATCATGCAGAGAGAAAACATTTGATCCCTCCCACCCTCTTCCAGGTCTAAATCCGCATTGTGCCTCCCATAATAATCTTTCCGATTTCTCTTGCATCCTACGTGTCAAAACCTTCGAGTAAACTTTACTTGCTAAACTGGTCAAGCTGATCGCCCGATAGCACCCGCAGTCAAAATGTGAACCTTTATATAAAGGCACAATGACCGCGGATCGCCAGTCATCCGGGACACCTCCCGTCCGCCAGCACAAATTGTACAGCAGATGAAAGCTGTTCCAGACGTGAGGCCCACTGTACTTGACCATTTCAGCAGTAACTCTGTCTAGTCCCGCAGCCTTACCACATTTCAAACTTCGAATCGCACGTTCAATCTCTCTCATGCTGACGATTTCAGTGTCATCGAGGTCCGTGTTTGGCGTGCCAGTCACAGTCAGTTCATCCTTCACTAAGATCATGACACGCATACATTTCTCTATAAAATTCGCTCCATCGCTGCATGACGTCCGATTTTTCTGAGAGGACGTCATTGGTTTTCGAAAGCACTTTGTTCATTCTTAAGGCTGTCACACCACTCCGGGACCTTCCAACCTCTTTCCAGAAGAGTTTGGAGTTTTCCTTAAAGTTGTGCGACAACCTTTCGTCCGCTTCTATTCTACACCTTTCACGTACTTCCTCAATCAATGTTTTCGCATGAAATTTCTGCAGCTTATATCTTTCTTTCATCTTCTCTCTCATATGCTTATCGTCACTAGAGGCCAAGTAGTCTAACCATGCTTTTTTCTTCTTCTTTACAGCTTCTCTCACTTCATCATTCCACCATGCATCTCTTCTTTTACTACTACCTCTTTTTATCATTCCACATACTTCTTCCGCTGCACTTACCATTCCATCCCTAAGGTTCTGTCATGTTCTTTCCACACATTCTTTTCTGCCATCGATGGTGTCAATCTTTTCGGCTACCCACGTGTAATATTTTTCCTTAGTATCCGCTTCCTGAAGCTTCCAGCTTCGGATGCGACAGACCGACTGTGGTTCTGTTACTGCCGTCCGGTAGCGCCAACCCGCGAACAAACCCCTAAATCTAGTAATTACTAGATAGTGATCCGTTCCCAGGTCAGTACCCCTGAACACTCGTGTATCCATCACCTGTTTTCGCAGTCGGTCATCCACCAGGAACAAATCATTCATACTTCTCTCATTCTTTCTTTCTCTAGTGTACATATGGATTTTCCTGTGATTAAGCATAGTGTTTGTCACAAGAAGACCCTTTTCGTTGCATACAGCCAGTATAAGTTTGCCAGCATCATTAACCCTTTTATCGCCAAACTTTCCAAGCACCGACTCGTACCCTGGTCGAGCGATACGTACCCATCCATTCAAATCACCACATACAACAGTTCTTTCGTTTCCCTTAACCAAATCTAGAACTTCTCTTACATTCTCCCAAAACTCCTCCAGCTCAGTCCTGGACGACGAAGCTACCGGCGCATAAACAGCCAAAAGGAATAACTTCGTCGTCCCAGTTTAAAGCGAACCCAGAGAAGTCTTGAGTTCACAACCTTATATTCAGTCATAAGATCGACCAACCGGGACGACAACAGTACCCCCACTCCCTGGCAGGCGTTCTCGCTTTCCAGGACTCCGGACCATATGGCTAACGTCCCGCCAGGGAGCTCTTCAGTACCACTGCCTTTCCGTTTGGTCTCCTAAATACACACGACATCTAATTCTCTTTCTTTCATTATTTCGATCAACTCATTCGTCTTATCTCTCATGCCCCCTCTAACATTCCACGTGTCACCTTCCGCCATGTCGGGCTGTGCGTGACGGGTGGTGGTCCCCATCGCCGCTTTGCGCGCTGCATTCCACACCAACGGGGACGAGCCGGTGTGCGTCGCCTTGAGGGGACGCCCTAACCCTCGTTTGAATGGGTGCGCAGCTGTGTAGAATTGCAGCCCTGAAAAGGGCTGGCAGGGGTCACGACGAGCACGCTTCTACAATGACCCTCCATATATCTTAAGTGAATTTAAAATATTGTGAAAAAATAATAACCTCAAAATACCACAAAGTACACGTTTATATTATATTTAAAAAAAGACAGCCATCTACCGGGAAGTCACGAAAATTATCCTTAAGTGTTAGTGAAAAGGAACCCAGACGGGCGGAAACTTTCGGGCTCTGAAACAGAAGGGAGGAATCGAGGCTGCTCTCGATCCGGCCTCCTATAACGCCTACGCTGGGTTCGGGAACAACGTATGTGATCTCCGCAACGGAGTAACACACAAGGGCGATAACCTCTTCCTTTTCAGCGAGTAGGGTCAGACGGAGATTACGGGTCTTCCGAAGTCGTCCCGGTCCCAACGCCTTAATTCTTCGATATGGACTGTATAATCTTGAGGGATGAATTACTTGGGAATAAAACAGCAATTATCTTCAAACCGTTCCGTGAGAGAGTTATCACTTTTTCCCTATCACTTCCCTATATTCTTCTTATTGACTGCTGGTTTTTCACTTTTCTCGAACTTTTTTCCCGAACGAATTACAATAAAACTCATTTACTAAGCTACCCCAGTGCTATACGCGAAAGTGAGCCGCGCCATTCGCGCGCTTGCGCAACTCAATTACATGAATTTGTTCTATTACTCTCTCACGTTTTACTTAATTACTTTATTTGCATAAGTCATACATCAACATAATTTACGTGTATAGATAGCACAAAACAATATCTACACTACGATATACATTACATTTTTATATCACGAAAAACCTATTATTTATTTAACCAAATATGCCTATTTTACTCACAAGTTCAAACTCGAAATTTCTTAAATATTTAACACAGAAAGTTAAAACAATGTTTTCCACTTGAAATTATACATATGTTAACTAATACAATAGTTTAATTTACATTTTCTCTATTTATTTCACTATTAAAGCACTTTTAAATTTCTTATACAAAACTATCATTATTTCACTTATACACAGGAATTTTCGCATAAAAATAACACAGAATTCACCTTTTTAGCACGTACAATCAACCTGAAATGTTTTATAAGTCATTTTTACATAAATTGCTGAAATTACAAACATTTTAAATTTTTACATATTCGGCCTCCTAAGGGCGTGGCCAGCGTGCTTCCGTGAACTCACTATTTGAACAACTAACTTTTGCACGGCTCTCGGCTATCAGAAAAAATGAAAGTCTGATATACACCAATTTTAACAATATTGGGTGAATAAATGCTTTTACACAATTTTCAAACTGTAGGAAACTATTTCTAATCAGATTCTTATCAGTTATCATGTTTCTTATCAGATAACAATATAAGTGAATGTTCTCATAAATCAATCATGGCAAATAGGCATTTGTTTTCGTACAAAACATATCAAACTTATATAAGACAATACTTATGCGATTAATTTCCGTTAATTCTATTTATGCACAGAGTGATCATCTCGACCGGGGAACAAATCCGATCTTTAACTTTATTTAAATATTCTTTTAAATTTACATCATTGGAAAGATGATTTCAACCGGGGAAACAATCCGGTAACATAATTTATATCTTAAATTCCTTATGAATTTATTAAGCGATATTATTTAGGAAAACAATAAACTAGTCCGGCCTGGGAGTCGAACCCAAGACCTTCATATCATTAATTCAACATTTCTTCAAGATTTAACTAAGCATTTTCTTACTAGAACATTGTTGCTCGATAATTTGTTTTTTAGAAGCTATTCGTCATCGGTTGACTTAATAAACTGAAATATTCTTATAGGCGCGTCGCCAACAGTTAGTGAGTGCAGAAAAGAGCGACATCTTGTGCACTGTACTATCGATCATATTCACGTTGTTGAACAGGTAATAGAAAAATATAATGAAGTTAGAAAACCACTATTTTTGGTGTTTATCGACTTTGCTAAAGCTTTCGAATATATTTCACACAACAGCATATGGAAAGCTCTAGAAAACCAAAACATTCCCCAACAATACATAAATATCCTAAGATATATCTACCATGAGAGCACTAGTAGAGTCAAATTAGACCGAACCGGACCAGCCTTCCCAATAAAAAGAGGGGTGAAACAGGGAGATCCACTTTCACCAAAAATTTTTATAGCAGTATTGGAACATATCATCAAAGGCTTAAAATGGACAAATAAGGGTATAAATATAAAAGGGAATTACCTCAGTCATCTTAGATTTGCAGATGATCTAGTAATATTTTCCGAGTCAGCAAAACAGATAGAGTCGATGGTAAATGAGCTAAACAACGCCAGTCAAAATGTAGGCCTGGAACTAAACACTACTAAAACCAAAATAATGACGAATAGAGTTCAATTACCTATAATTGTGAACAAAATTCCATTAGAATATGTTGATGAATATGTATATCTCAGTAAATTAATATCATTCAAAAGAACGAGACATGTTGACGAAATCCAAAGGAGAATAATGTCAAGTTGGGATGGGGCCCACAAGGAGATTCTAAAATCGACTCTACCTCCACCATAAATCTCAAAAAGAAGATAATAGATTCTTGTATACTGCCCTGCCTTACTTATGGGTGCCAAACATGGATATTTAACAAACATAACAGTAACAAGATCGCAAAATGTCAAAGACGAATGGAAAGGACAATTCTTAACATAAAATTGAAAGACAGAGTAAGGAACTCGGAATTAAGGTCCTAAGCTTAGCAGTTTATTTTTCTGACAGAAAATTTCGTAAAATGAATAAGGCATGAATTAATATATTAAACAAACAAATACAACTTGTGAAACTATTTACGTTTTTTTTTTTCAGATTGCTTGTATTGCTCCTACGCGGTCCAATTTAAATGAGACCGTCAACACTTTGCGCTATGCCGCTCGAGCAAAGAAAATCAAGTCGAAGCCTATTGTTAAGATGGTAAGTATTTTTGGCAGTGTCACCAATAAACACTTCATACCGCGGCGCGGGCTTCGTACATGGGCGTCGGTAAAAGTTTTACCGAACTTTCGGTCGAATTTTCGTATTCGGTGCAATCCATATTCGGCCCATCTCTAATTTAGATGCTAATAACTTATATCATACACAATATTTCCATAAAATAAAAACGTACGGACCTAGTTTTTCAGTATATCTACAACATTTCCACTGTGTTTACGGAAGGGAAAGCGTTATCACTTTTTGTATGAAAATTTACGGCTTCACAATCCTCTTAAAAAGACTTCAACCCATTTTCTTCACGTTCAGCGTTCATCACGTATATCCGAGGTTATAACTTACGCGCTGTAAATTTCACACTATTTGAGCATCCAGAATTCGATCCCAGCAATAAAACCACCGTGTAGTGGCGGTTGAGAATATCCATTACCCCATATCTTCCCGTGGGTGTCGTAAGAGGCGACAGAGGGAGACAGGCAGGAGATGGGCAGCAGCATCTTCCTGATAACTACTGTGATATAATAAAAAAACTGCGGTTACCAACCCGCTCGCCAAGCGTGGCAACTATGGCAAATATCCCCTCATGAGTAACGACGCAAACAAACGGCCCCCAGTCCCCGGCGGCCCCGCTATTCCTGGCTACGGTGGCGACCATGGTAACAGCGGGGTGGGGGGGTGCTAAGAATCTCCGGTGGAGGTTCGGGTGCCACCTACGACGACTCCACCTGGCAACATATAACGCACGCACCCTGAGGACTGACGAGAAGATAGTGGAGCCGGAAGAAGAAGAAATTTGGAGTAGGGCAACGGAACCGAAGGGGCCAGCAGCTGACCGACTTTATGGAGAAAGAAGGACTCTTTATGATGAACTCTTTCTTCCAGAAGCGGCCCCACAGGAAGTGGACCTGGACGAACCCCGACGGCTCGACAAAAAATGAGATTAACTTCATTATGACGACCAGACGCCAACTGTTCAGTGATGTCTCAGTGATCGCAAGGGTGATAACTGGCAACGATCACCGAATTGCAAGAGACACACTGAACCTAAACGTTAAGTTGGAGAGGTCTCGTCTAATGAAGTCAACGCTCCATCCCCCTGGTGCTCTAATCCAGAATCCCGAAACCTTTCAGCTCGAGTTACGTAACCGCTTTCAGTGCCTAGAAGATTGCAATGCAGAGGACGATATGAATGACAAGCTCGTGGAAACTGTCCATGCGGTCGGAGCTAAGTTCTGCAAGACCCACCGCAGAAGAACACAAAAACTCTCCGATCACACTCTTAATCTCATGGCTGTTAGACGGGAGATGAGGCTGCAATCGTCAACAGATTTGACAGCATACAGGCATCTGAAGCCGTGGTACCTCAGATGGTTAACGCTCGCTGTAAATATAACAGAACGCAAGTAACCCGGGTTCGATCCCACCCGCATCAATGAAATTGTTAATTGCAATTTTAAGTGCTGATTTACCACGTGCTCAGCGGTGAAGGAAAACATCGTGAGGAAACCTGCATGTCTGAGGAATAAGAAAAAAAATATTTCGAAGACATGTGAAGTTCACCAACACGCATAAGGGCAGCGCGGCGGACATTTCCATGCCCTGAAACCCTCTCAGAAATGAGGGGAGGCCTGTGCCCAGCAGTGGGACGGATATAAGCTGTAACTTTACTTTTACTTTAATAGGCAACTGAACAGACAGATCTCCAAATGCATGCGGCAAGACTTACGCAAATTTAATACTGCTCGTACTAAAGAAGCGATTGAGCGGAACCAGGGCTCCAAAGTCTTCCAGAGATCTGTCTGCCAGAAAGAGCCAACTGTCAAAGCTGAAGACTGAATGTGGCAGCATCGTTTCCGGGGCACCTGAGATTTTGAGTGAGATTGAGAGGTTCTATGGGCAGCTGTACACATCATCGTTGGAGCCACACGCAAGTGTGAGTAACGATCCAAGAGCAAGTCTAATCCGACACTATTCCGATGATATCCCGGACGTCAGTCTGATCTTCTTCACCTTAAAAACGGCAGGGCCCCAGGCAAGGAGAAGGAGCTTCTGAAAGCGAGTGGAACACCGGTACTTGAAGTCCTTCAGAAACTCTTCAATTACGTCCTGCATGGTGGCACTACTCCTGAGGCGTGGAGCAGAAGTGCGGTGGTCTTGTTCTTTAAGAAAGGCGACAACGCTCTCTTGAAGAACTACAGACCGATTTCCCTTCTTAACCGCGTCTATGTGCTGTTTTCGAGAGTCATTACGAATCGCCTCGCACGCAGACTCGATGACTGCCAGCCTCCCGAACAAGCCGGTTTCCGAAAAGGCTTCAGTACCATAGACCACATACATACCCGCGGCAGATTGTACAGAAGACCCAAGAGTACAATCTGCCACTTTGCCTGGCATATGTGGACTATGAGAAAGCCTTTGATTCCGTCGAAATTTGAGCGGTGCTACAGTCCCTTCAGCGGTGCCAAGTTGACTATCGGTATATCGAAGTGCTGAAGTGTTTGTACAGTAGGGCTACGATGGCTATCCAAGTACAGAACCAAAGTTCGAAACCTATCCAACTGCAGAGAGGTGTAAGACAGGGTGACGTTATATACCCGAAACCCTTCACCGCTGCATTGGAAGACGTTTTCAAGCTACTGGACTGGAAAGGATACTGTTACGAGCTTGAGGTTCGTGACAATAAAAATTGCCGATAAAATTACCTAAATTAACACTTTAATTTACTTTACACAATTAAAGTTAAAACACTAATAATTTAAAGACACTAATTCACTTAATTCCACTCCGAAGCTTCGCTTGTTTCGCCAAATCAACACTGCCTCCATCGCATCTTGCAGCGCCTATATATTTGAATCAGCAAAGAAATATCCAGAATGTTCAAGTAAACACGGGCAAGGTACCGAGCGTTCGAGTTTCGACTAGGCGCTGTCGGTTGAGTAATTTGTGATGTCATTTTCTCAATGCTCCCCTCGCTCTCGTTCCTGACACTAGATGGCGCTAGTTGACTTATTCATGCAACACTGCCCCCTCCTAAGACATGCTCGTCCCGAGCATTATCGGTCCCATAATAACGCGCCAAGCGATCCACATGGACGATCTTAGGAGTCCCTCTTGCGCCTTTCTGTATCCGGTAGGTCACATCGTTGATCCTGGTTACAATCCGGTACGGGCCGTCCCATTTAGCTTGAAGCTTAGGAGATTTCCCTTTGCTGCGGACTGGATTGTGCAACCACACAAGTGAACCTTCGTCGAATCCTTTGTTGTTCATTTTGCGGTCATACCGGGTTTTCATCTTTTCAGACATTTGCTGGCCCGATTGTCTGACGTGCTCATAAACGTCATTCATTTTTTTCATTAAGTTAAGTCATTTGCATAATCGGTTATACTGCGTGGAGCATCGGATGGTATCCCGGTGATCAGGTCTGCAGGCAGCCGTAATTCTCTTCCAAAGTTTGCGAAAGCTGGTGTCACTGCTGTACTTTCGTGAACAGAACTTCGATATGACAACAAAAACGGTTGTATGTGCTTGTCCCAATCTCGTTGCCGATTGTCTACAACTTTTGCTAGGTACCTCTCCAATGTCTGATTAAATCGTTCCACCATTCCATCAGATTGCGGGTGATAAGAAGTCGTTCTTGTTTTATGAGTACCCATAACTCGGCAAGTTTCCTGGAATATTTGAGACTCAAAATTCCTTCCTTGATCGCTGTGAATCTCTAAAGGTACTCCAAAACGACAGAAAACTTCATGAACTAGTTTATCTGCAACTGTTGAAGCTTCTTGATTTGGAATGGCGAAGACTTCTGGCCACTTAGTGAAGTAATCCATCACAACCATGAAATACTTGTTACCGCTTTCACTCTCCGGAAACGGCCCCGCCACGTCAATGGCTATTCTCTCCCATGGTGCACCAACATTGTACAACTTCAATGCACCTCTACTACGAGTCTGAGGTCCCTTTACAGCCGCACAACTTGTACATTTGCGACACCAGTCCTCGACATCGTTTCGACAGTGGACCCAGTAAAACCGTTCTCGGATCTTCAGTAGAGTTCGTTTAACTCCCAGATGGCCTCCTGACCAATCATTATGGTACAGCTGTAGAACATCCGGTACTTTAACTTTAGGGACAACCATTTGCAAATGACAGCTGTCTCCCCGAACGTTTTCCCATTTACGACACAGAACTCCATCCTGAAGCAGCAAGCTGTCCCACTGGGCCCAATAGCTTTTAGTGGTCGAACTCATCGCTGAGACGTCACTCCACTTGGGCTTGGGAGCACTGGCCTTTATCCATTCCAGAATCGGCTTGATGTCCGGATCTTCCTGCTGTGCATGTAGTAAGCTGTCCTTCCACTCGTTGCTGAGGTGGTCTGCCCTGAGCATCCTCACGGATACCACTTCCTTACTCTCTTGCCTAGTACAATGTTTGCAATCTTCAGGACAAGGTCTTCTTGACAATGCATCTGCGTTGCCATGAGATTTCCCGCTGCGATGTTCGATCTCAAAGTCGTATTCCTGCAGTAGTTCAATCCACCTCGCAACTTGTCCTTCTGGGTTTTTAAACTGCAATAGCCATTTTAGTGCAGCATGGTCAGTTCGTAAGTGAAATTTTCGTCCCAGAAGATATTTGCTAAAATGTTGCAACGACTTTACCACAGCTAGCAATTCGCGTCTTGTGACACAGTAGTTCCTTTCCGGTTTTGACAACGACTTGCTGAAGTACGCTATCACGACCTCTTGGTCACCATTACGTTGAGACAACACACCGCCAAGTCCTATATCACTTGCGTCTGTGTCAACTATAAATTCTTTGCTTGCATCAGGGTATCCCAAAATAGGTGTTTTGCACAGACGGTCCTTGAGCTCCTGGAATGCGATGTTACAACTTTCATCCCAGCAGAAATGTCGCTTCTCCTCGGTTAGCTTATGCAGAGGTTTGGCTATATCTGCAAAGTTCTTCACAAAACGTCGGTAATAGGAGCACAAACCCAAAAAATGCTCTAACCTGCGTCTTGTCTTTTGGAACCGACCAATCCTTTACAGCTGCGATTTTCTCTGGATCCGTGCGGATACCTTCTTCCGACACTACATACCCCAAAAAGTTGACTTGCCGTTTGAATAGTGAACATTTCTTCGGACTCAACTTAAGGTTGGCACTCTTAATCTTCCTGAGCACGCGTTCCAGGTTTTGAAGGTGTTCCTCAAACGTACGGCCCACGATGATGATGTCATCCAAGTAGACCAGACAGGCCTCGCCAATTAGCCCGGTAAGTACAAGTTCCATCAGCCTTTCGAACGTTGCTGGAGCATTGCACAACCCAAACGGCATTACTTTGAATTGCCACAGACCCTTTCCCGTCGAGAACGCAGTTTTCTCCTTGTCCTTAGGGTCAATTTCAACTTGCCAGTAGCCACTTTTTAGATCCAGCGTGCTAAACCATTTTACTCCTGTAAGCATGTCCAGCGTGTCATCAATTCTTGGCAAGGGATAGCTGTCCTTCTTTGTAACTGTCATTCAGACGGCGGTAATCAACACAGAACCGCATGCTGCCATCCTTCTTCTTTACCAGTACCACGGGTGAACACCATGGACTAGATGAAGGTTCAATAACACCATCCCTCACCATTCCCTCAATCATGGTTTCCACTTCCTTTTCACGTGCTACCGGCAATCGTCTTGGCCGCTGACGGATAGGCAACTCTTCACCTGTGTTTATTTTGTGTTGAACTAAACCAGTCTTTCCTATGTCAGCATCGTTTGATGAGAATACATCGGCGTACTCGAGTAACAACTTCTTCGCCTTCACCAATTCGTTCGGGGACAGAACACTGCGACAGTCTTCCAAAAGTGTGGTCACTCTCGTTTCTGAATCCTTGCTGGGGGTCCCACTCGATATATATTGGCACTGACGTAACCAATCCACTTCCTCACAAGTACCAACCAGTGTACCTTTTTCTATAACCTGTTCCCGGTCGCAAAGGTTCAGCACACGTACTCCTGAGATGTCAGTGGTCCTGACCAAGGTTCGAGCTACTTTCCATGGAAGGTCATTGTTTACCCTTTCCACAAGTACACAACGGTGAGCTTGCCCAGCGTTTCGTGGAAGACTAACCGGAACAATCGTTTCCGATCTCGGCGGAAGAACAATCTTCTTGATGCTGTACACGTTCCCTGGTAACGCACCTTCCATAAAAAGTTCCTCCTGTCCACATTTCAAAACACCTTGCTTAACGTCGATCTCACAACAATTATTCCTCATAAAGTCTAGGCCTAGGATGCAGTCGTCCATTATATCAGCCACGATGACATTATGCAGGTAGATCACGTTGCCTAGCTTCAACTCCATCTCCTTCTCTCCACGGACGGGTATACGCTGACCGGTGGCTGTTACCAAATTAATGCGTTCTCGGTTGTATGCGGAGTCCCCAAGGAACTGACTTATAAGTTGGGAACTAACAACCGTACGAGAGGCTCCAGTGTCTATGGTCAGCTTACACGGCATTCCGTTGATCTCGCCCTTTATGATTAGGCTGTTCCCATCATGGGTTTGTGAGATCGAGATCCTTGGGGCTCTTTTAACATCAGCCAGCACCCGCCCCGCAGTTCTGGCTATTACTCGTTTCCCTGCCGCTGCTGGGCGGTGCTGTTGGCCGCACTACCCTCCTGAGATCGTTCAATTTCCCTTTCTAGGGTTCGCTTAGGGCAGCTGGATCGAAGATGGCCCTTTTCCCCACAGCCATAGCACCTTGGGCTGTATCCTTTGTTGCGGTCGCGAACTGTAGCTGCTGCAACCTCCCTGACGCGATGGGAACGATGATCCTGCCGCACGGCTTCCACTTCCAGTGCATGGGCCAAGGCGTCCTTAAGCGTCTCGTGGTGCCCGAGCCTCACAGCAGCTCTGACTTCCAGGTCGCGGATGCCGTCGATGAATGTCTGCACCAGGTTCCCTTCAATGAGCGCAGGTACAGACCGGTATGCTTTTCGCACCAGTTTCTCCACTTCTAGAGCCCACTGCTGCAGGTTTTCGTTGATGCGCTGCACACGATCTTTAAGCTGCGCACGAAAGACGTGTTCCAGGTGAGTGTCGCCATATCTCGCCTCCAATGCCTCAAGGAGTTGCTCATAAGTCACTTCCTCACCGAGAGCTTCCAGAACTGTTAAGGCCTGGTCGCGCAGGCCTAGTGTGAGAGCAGTCATGGCCTGACTTTTATTCCAGCCGTTCGCCTTCATAACAGCCTCGAACTGGATTTTGTAGGCTGACCAGGAAGAAGTCCCGTCAAACGGTGGCACCTTGAACCCACGTAGCGAAGGTGCTGAAGTTCCTCTCGTCCGCGCTGCAGCTGCTCCTGTAGCATCGCCATCAGAGCACCTAAGTCAGGTGCTGCAGGTGTAGGAGCTAATGACGGGCCCGCAGCCTCCGTGGCTGGCAGTTGGCCCTCCGACGTTTGTGGCGTTGCACCACCAAATCTCCTCTGGTCCGTCTCATGCTGGCGTTGACTGCGGGTACGGACACCCTCCGTTTCCTCCTTAGGTAAAATCGGCATGATTTTATCCCACTTCTGACACCAATTGTTACGAGCTTGAGGTTCGTGACAATAAAAATTGCCGATAAAATTACCTAAATTAACACTTTAATTTACTTTACACAATTAAAGTTAAAACACTAATAATTTAAAGACACTAATTCACTTAATTCCACTCCGAAGCTTCGCTTGTTTCGCCAAATCAACACTGCCTCCATCGCATCTTGCAGCGCCTATATATTTGAATCAGCAAAGAAATATCCAGAATGTTCAAGTAAACACGGGCAAGGTACCGAGCGTTCGAGTTTCGACTAGGCGCTGTCGGTTGAGTAATTTGTGATGTCATTTTCTCAATGCTCCCCTCGCTCTCGTTCCTGACACTAGATGGCGCTAGTTGACTTATTCATGCAACAATACGGTATTAACATCAATGGCGAGTACATCACTCACCCTCGAATTACCAACGATATAGTTCTTATGGCAGAATCGCTGGAGGACCTTAGCACTATGCTCAATGACCTCAATAGTGTTTCCCAACGGATAGGTATTAAGATGAACATGGACAAAACAAAGATCATGTTTAATGTCCATGTCACACCTATGCCGATAGTTGTTGGGAGCACTATGCTCGAAGTTGTTGACGAGTACGTTTACCTGGGACAAATAGTCCGACTAGGTAAGTCCAACTTCGACCGAGAGGTCAATCGACGGATTCAACTCGGCTGGGCAGTGTTCGAGAAATTACGACACATCTTCTCGTCAGGTATACCTCAATCTCTGAAAACTAAAGTGTACAACCAGTGCATGTTGCCAGTGATGACTTACGAATCTGAGACGTGGTCCTTCACTGCTGGCTGTATGAGGACGCTCAAGGTCGCTCAGCGAGCTATGGAGAGGGCTATGCTCGGAGTTTCTCTGCGTGATAGACTCAGAAATGAGGATATCCGCAGTAAAACCAGAGTGACCGACATAGCCCAACGGATTAGTAAGCTGAAGTGGCAATGAGCCGGCCATATGGCTCGAAGAACCGATAACCGATGGGGAAGAAAGGTTCTCGAGTGGCAGCCTCGTACAGGTAGGCGTAGTGTAGGGTGACCCCCCCCCCCCCACTAGACGGAGTGACGACCTAGTAAGACATGCAGGAAGACGATGGATGCAGGTGGCTCAGGACCGTGCTTAGTGGCATTACTTGGGGGAGGCCTATGTTCAGCAGTGGACTTGTGAAGGGTTGTAATGATGATGATGATGATGATGAATAAAATTGTTAACAGCAATTGTACGTGCTGATTTAACCATGTACTCGGCAATGAAGATAGTCATCGTGAGGAAATCTGCATGTCTGACGGATAAAATATTTAGAGTACAAGTGAAGACCGTCAAACATATATTTGTAATACAATTGCTCCATAATCCCAACCTCATTAAGAGTGTGCGCAGGAATTGCACAATTTCTCCCTCTCCCTTCCACCATCGGACAACCAGACGTTTGGCCAGTCTAAACCCTTTCGTTGTTGACTTACCATGCATTCGAACCAAACGGTTTGCTACGTCGTTCATCACGCATACAGCAAAGGAGTGGAATAAGTTGCCAGCATCTGTCTTTCCATCCGATTACAATGTCGGTGTCTTTAAGGCAAGAGTGGATAGGTTTTTATTAAGTCAGTGTGCTTCACCATCTTAGGCTACATCACCACTTACCATCAGGTGGGATCGTAGCTAAGCGCTGGCTTAGAACAGTGAAAAACAACCCCTTTTAGAAAAATGACAAAAGTTCTGTGCCCAGCGGTGGGGCGCATATAGACTGTAATTTTACTTTATTATTATATAGAATAATACAATGAATCTAAATAATCCTTCAGGATGCAAGAGACGCCCTAATTTTGAGCCTTAAAAGGGAAGTAGAGGCGCTTCAAGCAGAAAACCAACACCTAAGAACAGCTCTACACGTCCATAGTGATTACAACATGGACACGTTGGGTAAGTTTTACTTGTACATTATAAAGCTATTACGAAATTATTTCCCGTATGAGTGTTTTGGGAAACGTAGCAGATTTAAAAGTAAACGCCGGTTTAACGCGCCTACCTTGCAAACTCGGCGATAAGATATTAATATTCTACATATTATTATAAGATATTTCTTGCATCAGAATCCCGTGAAATTGATCTTTATAACAAATAAATAAATTTGCATTTAAAATAACACCAAAACTAATAATCTTTAATTCTTTTAACCCTGTTGTTCTCAACCTTTTTGCATCACAATGTTGTGCCAGACTCCAGAGCACCAGAAAATTTAACACTGCCTGTTGCCGCCATGCTGACATTTTCGATAGTCGGACCTTACGATATCCAGACAAAATAGACTGATGTATTCTCTTATGCCGCCTCTACAAAACATTATTGCAAAGACAGTTAGTTGGAATTTACAATCATGTTGGGTAATTCAATGAATTCATTTACTAATGGTCGCTTTTTATTAATTAGGAACTAACTCGTTGTCAAGACCCGAGTTTTAGAGCCGCTACTCTAAACTGCACTTAGTTTGTTTTTATTTAAACTGACACCTAATAAGATTATTAGCTAACGACACAATATCTATACTTCGTAGGAAACAAAACTCGATTATTACTGAAAATCAGCGTTGTAATAAAGTGTCTTTGGCACACAGCATTCACTGATCGTCATCAAGTCCAGTATTTTTGTATACCTAATAAGGTTAACAAACGAGCACACAGTCCACCAAATAGTAAGTGGATGTTGAGGTTATAGACATCTACAATACATCTATCCACGATTAAGAATCAAAATGCGGATGAATGCGTTGTCACCTCTGAGGACTACGATAGAACGCCTTGTTCCCAGTAAAATGTGTCTCCAGTTCTCTACACTTAACGTACAGCTGCTATTTTACGCTGGTATTCTGTGAGAACGTGATCCTTCCCCGATCGAGCTGATCCATTCGTGCTGCAACCATAATATAGCTGCAGCGTGTAAAATAAACTAGTAAGATTATCTACCATTGACTTATATATTTCTAGCGTATCTACATAACTAATGTATTATAATATTAACAAAACTCAATTATCACTGGAAATCAGCGTTGCAATTGATGTAAGTGTCTTTGGCCCACAGCTCTATTGATTAAATGCTCGTTTGTCATAATTACATATCTAAAAAGCTGACAAATCATTGGAAAAACTTTATCCAGAAGTAGACTTACTGTTGTTTATGAATAGGAAATGGGTGTACGCTACGCTGCTAACACTAAAACATTGAAACCAGGTCACAGAAACCCGAGCACCCCGCGAGTGGAAACCAACAAGCTGTACCAGCTGCCGCAATCGGAGCTGGTGGAGCTGATTCAAATCCATATGGAGGAGAACTCGGCGCTGAGGAGAGAGAACAGCGAGCTGTTCGGCGTCAGAGACCAGCTGCTAAGGGACCAAGAGCTTCTGAGTAGGGAGAATGAGAGGCTGCTAAAGAAGTTGGAAGACGTCAATTCGTAAGTACCTAATATACTTCTTATAATCTTTTCTTCACTTTATAAAACTAAGGTTTTGAATACGTTGAAGCATCAATGGTGCAGCAGAATTAGGTACCGTTCACCATCAGACTGCCAGTCGTTCGGCCGTTCACCACCATTTCGATGTCGACATACAAATCCTAATGCTTTGCTTTATCGTTCCTAATGTGTTGTGAAAAAGAAAGGAGTAATTTGCTTCAAGGCAAGAGTGAATAGGCTTTCATTAAGTCAGATCGCATTTACCATCTTTGGCTACATCACCACTTACTATGGATTAGGATTGTTAAAGTAGTAAAAAAAATAATGGTCGCAAGAAAAACAATATTGGCAGACGAAGTTCTGGCGCCAAATTATTTTTTTTTTCATTTTTATGCTATTGGCTACAATGCCTTCAGCTAGAAACAGTACATCAAATGCCGTAATACATTTTATGAAATATAAAATATGTTAAAAAATGTTTTCACAATATCTTGATACTTCATATTGCGACATTTATGTAGCTTAAGCCAGCAGATAGACGCTGGCAACAATATCTTAAGTTCTAAATGCATATGACCAAATACCCACCGACCGTTTTGTTGTCCGTTAATAGAAAAGCTCTGCCCTATTCACCATACCGTGTGCATGAATTAAATGACGTATTCCTGCGCACCCTCTCCGGAAATATGTTGATTCTTGAGAATAAACATATTGAATTTAATTTGTATGAATAGGTTTAAATTTAGAATGGAACAAATTCCTGTTACGTTTAATAAATTATGTTTTAGGTCGTTATTTGGATTGTGCTGATTTAACAGCAACAGGTCAGTGGAAGTGCTCACTAAGTGTATGAATTTATAAACGCACTAGCACGCATGACGGTTGTTAATAAATAACCCTTTATTTCTAAAATACTAATCATAAATAAATAGTTACTAATTAAAATATATTATAAGTTCGAACATAAATAAAACCCTATTAAAATAATATTTATATTTAATACACATTACCTAATTTTAAATATCGCCAAATAGTTTCATTTGTCTCAGCATGCGAAAATTCACACTGTTTTTTTTTTTACAGAATTATTAATCAAGGAAAGCTGTGATATAAGACAAGCAGCCATTTCTTTGTATTATAAATATAATATTTTTATTTTTACTTGAATTATTAAATATGTTTTTGTTTTCAGAGTGTGCGTTCGGTCTCCAATTATACCAGCACGTCCAACTTACTCTGAAATTGGATCCAAGGAGCCAGATATTTGGACCAATCCCTCAATTTCTTCGGCAAATAGTGTAGCCAGTAGACTAATTTAGAAAAATGAAGATGATATTGTTAAATTTAGGCGTTGACAATAAGAATTTAACCGATAAGGCGCTATGATGTCCTTTATTAATACAACAGAGGGTTTCTAAAGCTTAGGTGATGATTGATTCTTTAATATGTATAATTTAATTGCAAATACTAGGTTCTTGCCTGTGTGAAACTGCTTTATTCTCATCTATATATGAATTATGCAAACAATTTTATAAGTTATAGATACCTACTTTATATTATTTGTCTTAAAATGCAAATACTACACATTGAATAACAAAGCAATGGTTGCTGTAAAGTGCCCGAAACGTCGTAAATTAAAAATTTTAAAATTTAAATTTAAAAACGCTATTAAATCGATAAAATTAGTTTTATTTAAAATTAGTTTTTTTTATAATACTTAGTTGGGCTATAGTAACAAGCATTTCAGATTATACAGCCAGTATTCGAAAACGGCGATTTATTTGGAAAGAGTCAAATACTTTATTAACAGGTTTCCTAAATCAAATGTTTTGTTCCTAAGATTTGATTTAGGAAACCTGTTAATATTTAGAACTTTGAAGAACATGTAGAATTAAAAATAATAAAATATAGAAAATATATAATTGAAGTAATTTTAAAAAGGTGCTCTTACTCATTTTCTCTTTTTGTGAAATGACAAAATAAAGACAGTTCAAGATTGAATGACTTATTATATTTTCGCGAATCCTATTTTTAAGGACTTCATCTCGTTTAATTTTTCTTATTTAAGATTCCAGACGTTAAACTCGATAAATTCGTAAAAATAGTTTTATTCAATTAATCTAGTAGGTATTTACGGATTTCTTCGCGTTTATTAATTTATTTTATATTCCTGAAGTTTCGAGTACTTTGCAGCACCCATCTAGTAGGTACTATTTATGGCACCCATCGTCACGGAGGTACCGAGGTGTTCGACGTCCCAATGTCATAGTTAACCACGACTACCCTCATTTTAAAATTATTAATTTTTAATCCGATCTAGTTTGTATTTACAAGAGACACATGGGACTCTGTAAGGAAAGCAGCAGAATTAGGCCTTGCTAGGGTTGTGAATTGGCTCAATCAGAATCTACTAACTTTGAATGTATCTAAAACTAAATATATCTGCTTTACTATGTATAACAGCACCCAATCTACACCTGATTTTCATATTAAAATTTACGATTGCTCTGACGTCCAAATCTCTAGTTGTAAATGCTCTCAAATAAATAAAGTCTCAAATATAAAGTATCTCGTCATGGTTGACCAAAGACTATCTTGGTATTCACATCTAGAATTAATGAAAACTTATTTCGATATTTAAGTCTCTACATGTCTCCACGAAGTGTTTTTTTTTTTTATTTAAGAAAATATACATAGCTCTGGCTCAGTCAACGTTGGGCTACTGTATTCCTATATGAGGTGGTGCAGCAAAAACTAGGTTCCTTGAGCTTGAAAGGGTTCAAAGATTTTGAATTAAAGTTATGTACTTAAAGCCCTATAGATTCTCTACAACTGAACTTTATGAAGTGAGTAATTGACTTTCGGTAAGAAAACTTTACATTTTAGCAACAGCTTTAAAACTTCATAGTTTCATAAATTACCATATGTCTTCAATCACCAGACGTAGAAAATATACAATAGGTACCCTAAGAAGATTCATTTAAAACCAAGTTTGCATCAAAAGAGTATACTAGACGTTCAGTTTATTTATTTAATAAAATAAACCAAAAAATCAATATTTACTCTATGAATTACCATTACTGTAAAAAAACCGTAACAGACTGGTTAAGAAAACTGTCCTATGAAGAAATCTAATTCCTTCTCGAAAATACTGCCTTATGAATTTTCACACTCATACAGAATTCCCACGCTCATCCATACACACACACATTTTTGCACACTATCATGCAATTATACCTTACTTGCAATTTAAATTGTTTAGCTTTTGATTTATTTATGTTTTTTTGTTATTTTATTGTTTTGTGTTACTTATTCTAATTTAAAGTAGTAATATAATTGTAATAAGGAAGAACGGGGCCCTCTACTACAGGTATCTATTTACTTAAAAGAGGGTGCCCAACAATATTGTAACAACTTACTACTCGTTTTAAAGTAATAAATTATTTTGGGGTATCTATATAATTTTCTCATCTGGTTGGGTTCCATAAATATATAATTGCGAACGAAAATGATAAATACACATAAATAACAATACAATTAAATAAATACATAAAAAATATATAAATAAATAAAAGCCCAACCAGATGGAAGCCCTCGGCAGACCAAACGGCCGAGGGTTAGGGGGAAAGGGAAAGAAACCGGCGGACGATGCGGTCGGTATCGAGGAGCACTGCCTTCTGCATTTCAGCCCGGAGCAGTCCGTCACGGAGTCCTAGTCGCCTCAGATGACCCGAGAGGCTGACTGGGATTAGCCCGTTTGCGGAAACGACTACAGGTATAATTTCGGTCGACAGCCCACCCCACATGTCGGTCACCTCGTGAGCCAGGTCCAGATATTTTGTTCGCTTATCTGTTTCGGCTTTCACGAGGTTCTCGTCATACGGAATGGTAATGTCGACCAAAAATATCCTTGACTATGCCCGGTCCATCAGCACAATATCAGGCTTATTCGCAAGAATAGTCCTGTCTGTGACGATGGCCCGGTCATTTTCGAGCACGGCTTCCGGCAAGTACTTGTAATACGGCATTTTCCGGTCCACGAGACCGTATTTCAGAGCGAGCTCCTGGTGTAGAATTCTGGCTTCTAGGTTGTGCCTGTGCAAGTACTCAGAGTTAGAAAGCGCCGAACAACCGGAGATGATATGCCTAAGTGACTCACCGGGATGGCGACAAGCTCGACAAATGTCGATGTATCTCCGATAGTTGTTGGTCTTAAGAACCTGATCCTAAATACCTGATAATAAATTATTATCAGTATTGTCAGTTTGACCTTACTCTTTCGTACTAGTTTCATTCAACGTATACTATAGTATTCACATAAATATAGTAAGAAATCATTAGATACGGTATAGAGACAAATAATATCTACGTATTAAAACTGAGCGAAAATCAACGGCCGGTCATTTTAATAGGAGAGCGATACCAAAAACCTATATAAATTAAAGTGGAAGCTGCAACCCATAGAATGAACATGAATCAAAATGCAGATGCCTTGTTATCCCTGAGGACTAAGATAGAAGGACTTGTTACGAGTAAAAAAATAAGGTATTTATCCACTTCTTTATACTCGCCATACGAAACACAGTTGTTATTTTACGCTGATATTCTGCGAGGACGTGGTCATTCCCTGGTCTCGACCCATTCGTGCTACTACTATAACGCAGCATGACTCAATATAGCATGGAGCATAAAAATATACTTTTTGAATATGTACATATTTATTTATTTATTTATATTTCCTACTAACATCTACCATTACAGGGAAAACATAAATCGATAAATGTAGCATCTCAATTCAAAAAGTAACAATTCCAATTATAAAAGATTACTAAATAAAACACAATAATTAATTTAAATAACAAGATATAATAATTAATTTAAATGACAATACAAAATTTTAATACTAAATAATTTGAAATTTGTTTTTAAATTTTTCATAATTTGAAAACATTTTATCTTGATGTTTTAGTCTAAAACTAAATAAAGACAAACAAAAAACTAATTAAAGACAAAGAAGAATCAAATACGTTTTTGAATGTATTTATTTATTTGCTTAAATATGTAACGAACTCGCTATTTTTGTAATATAGAGAGTGAATATTATTATTTGTAAATAATCAAAGATTATGTAGTTCAATTACACGAGTCTGTAGCAACTAATGAAAATTAATAACTTGACAATAAAATGTATTATTACTGTCTGTCTTTGTCTTATTTAACAAAGAAACGAATATTCTTATAAAACTACCTAAATGATTTGAAAGTTGTGTCCACTTCATGACTATGGTTAAACAGTTACAGCTAAATACCCCACAGCTGGGCAAGTCTCCTCTCATTTTTGGGAGAATTATGAAGCGATTAGTGCGCAGTTAGTTTGTGGTCCGCAGCGACGCTCTATTGGCGTAGTTCACCTTCACATTCAGTCAAATATTTTTATACAAAATTGGTTTTTGCAAAGTTCTTTTTGAATGCCGAATGCTACGCCATCGCTTTGCCAAGTTCCTACTGCGGGGAGACATTAGTAAAGAAGATTCATCAATTTATTCCTAACAGTTTAAAGCCCACACAGATTGCCTCATAAGGGATATAATATTTGCTAGTCTTTTTTTTTATAGGATAACGGTGAAAAACGAGCACACAGTCCACTTGATATTAAGTGGTTGCTGTAATCCATAGACATCTACATCTATCCTCGATTACGAATCAAAATGCAGATGCGTTGTCACCCGTGAGGACTAAGATGGAATGCCCCTTTTCCAGTAAAAAGGGTCTCCGGTTCTCTACACTTACCATACGAAACACAGTAGCGTTAAGCAGCTATTTTACGCTGGTTATCCTGTGAGAGCGTGGTCCTTCCCCGGTCGAACCGACCCATTCGTGCTACAACTATACCAGTAATATAGCTGCACCATGGCTCTACCACGTAAAGAAAAGTCTCCACGCTTAGCCGGCGAGTCTGCTTCAACTCTGTTGGAAGACTGCTTCCCATCTCCTGTTTTTCACCTCTGTCGCCTTTTAAGACCCTTATATGTAGTAATTGATATTCTTAAGTATTCTGATATTCTTAATAAGAATATCCACTACCACACATCACATGATTCACATGTCCTCAGAATATTTTATTCCTCAGATATGCAGGTCTCCTCGCTACATTTTTCTTCAACGCAGAGTATGCACAGCATTTATAATTGCAATTAATAAATCTTTTGATGGTTGTTGCTCACAGCATTAAACACTTCTGAAAAAACTAGCGAACCCCGCGTTTCTAAAATACAGGATTCATCAACTTTAATAATGCCGTAGCACACCATAACAGCTC